AAAAGCTCTAGGCATAAGGCCACTGTGCAGCTTCATGGCCTGAAGGAATCCCTATCACCAATGTCTTGTGAACATATTCAGATAACGGAAGAGGAAGAAAGGCAAGCCATCTCTTCCGCTTAGGAGAATAAACACACAGCTTCCAAGAACAATCTTCCCTTCTCCACTGGCACAGAGTCCCAGCATTTCAAGGCAAAGCTTCCAGCTTTCAACCTGAGGAGCTACACAGACAGATACAGCTAAGGAACATGACAAAGAAGACACCCATAACGGCCCACAGTGTCAGAGGCTGATTCTAGGAGGGATATGGGAGGGCAGCTAAGAAGCAAGACCTCTTCTGAGACCTAATCTGAGCTTGTAGGCCAGGCCCTGTCCACAACCTGCTCTGAGTGGCGTGCTATGTCCCTCCTATACCAGCATACTTGCTTCTCACTGCCATCTTAGCCCCCACCGTTGTTCCTTGGGGTGATCCAACAATGTATATATACTACGTTGTTAGGAATGACCACATTATCAAAGCCCCATGTCCGGGTCTTACCAGGCTATCCCAAGATCCTTGTTCCCTACTCCATGACCAATCTAACATTCTGTGCCCCCCACCCTGCAGCCTGGCACACCCAGGCAAAGTCTTAGGTTTCTTCTTGGGCTGTGACTCTCAACCTCTCCTTCCTGAAACACTCTGCCCCACGGGCACATTGAATAAGAACTGGACAATAAGATGCCTCCTGAGTTCTCCTCCCACAAAGCAACAAACCCAGCCAGTGGAGCTCTGAGCCTCCACTTCACTGGGAGCCTCTTCTGAACACAGCCAGTGGGGCTCTGAGCCTCCACTTCACTGGGAGCCTCTTCTGAACACAGCCAGTGGGGCTCTGAGCCTCCACTTCACTGGGAGCCTCTTCTGGCTTCACTTCAGAGACAACACAGAAGGTAGGGCCAAGCCAAGGAGCACTCACGGAAATGCTCACATTCCCAGAGTGAGCACCAGAAGCTCCTCACATTCCTGCTCATCTGCTCCCCTAAACTTCTGCAGTGCCCCCCAAAGATCCTTGACACGCAAGCAAAGCAACCCGAAGATGAACCATTAGCTTGCACGTCCTTTCCTAAGGTTCTCAGCATATTGATAAAATCGAGTTATCTACGATTCTTCTCCAGCCCCCCTCCCCTGGCTCTCCCAAAAGGCCTTTTGCTAACAAAATTGGAAATAAAAGTTTTTTTTTTTTAAAAAAAAAAAGCTCCAGCCACACACACGGGCAGTAAAGGATGCCCTGGTGCTCTGTGATAACATGTTTCTCTCCTGAAGCTAGTGTTAATCTTGACATGAGTAAAAGCAAAAACAAGAAACTCCACACCATCTACACCTTCACACTTCCCTCTACATGAAAAGGGTAGAGGAATAAACCACTGAAAGCTATCCAGCCCCAGGTATTTTAGATTATTAATCAAAACTTAGAACCCAGTGCCCAATGGGGGCATGCCTATAATCCTAGCTACTCAGGAAGTGAGATCTGAGGATCTCCACTCAAAACCAGCCCAGGAAGGAAAGTCCGTGAGACTCTTATCTCCAATTACTACCAACAAACCAGAAATTGAGCTGTGGCTCAAGTGGCAGAGTGCTAGCCTTAGACACAAAAGCTCAGGGACAGTGCCTGGGCTCTCAGTTCAAACTCAGGCAGGACTGGCACCAAACAAAAACAAAAACAAAATACCCAGAGCAGGAAAAAATAGCAGTAACTACTCACTCCATCCTCCCTGCTGGGGTCTCCTCTAGAGCACAGCCCAAATAGCCAGACCCTGCCTTGAAACAGGATGCAGGCTCCGCAGTCCCCTGGCCTCTCTACTCATTCTTCCACTAAACCATTGTAGTCTCTCACTTAGAGAACTATTCTACCTTATTCCTGGCCCATGAATCACCTAATCCTGCAACAATCATTGCTGGCCAAAATGCAGAAGGAAGAGGCTGACAGAAATCAGAGACACAAGGATAGCTTTGATATCTGGGTAACTTCTACTTCAAGGCTACCACACCCTAAAGGGAGAGATTTGGAAGATGCATGTTCTCCCACAGAGAACAGGGTAGATACCCTAGGAAGCTCAATAGTGGCTGCTGACATATTCAAAGGCAGGAAACATGGGTCCCTAGAAATGGATACATACACCAATTATGTTCACATTCCCAGCCCAACATGTGCTTATGCCCAACACTGAAGAGTATGTCTCTGACACCTTTACCCTCCACCGATGGGCATTGGGGACTGTTATCTGCCAAATTCCTTTGCAGGAATGATTGGAATATCTCCCAGGGGAGGAGAAAGGCTGCTGGCCTCAAAGGGCCCTGTCACAAGAAGGAAATCCTCTTAGAAGGAGAATGAGTCTGAGGCCACTGAGAGATGAATAGACCTTGGGACCCTTCCTAGCCCTAGGGACACCACAGAATAGCTGCTGTCTGGTGACCAGCAAAAAGCACAGCTCCTACTATTTGGTCTGAGGTAATGGGCACTGCCAAGGCAAGCAAGAGGCCAGAGTTAGCACAGGGCCTCAACAAGCCCAGCCCACAGGGTTTTACTCATGGTCCAAGATACCATGATAAGGAAGCAAAGCCTTCCACTCTGTCTTCTCTTCTTCTTTTCTAATCTCAAGGCTACAACAGCAACAGGGCCAGACTTCCCACAAAGGTTGAGTCACAGTTGGCTAAACCCATAGCAAAGGCCCAACAGCCTTAACATTCCACATTTACATCCCATCCTGGGACCTAAGGCTAGAATCACATGCTGTAGGGGAGTCAAGGCCTCGGGATGGTTTGCTATGAGCCTCCAGATCCCACCCTGACATTTCAAGTAGGCTTGTTCCTGACACCCCTAGGAGAGATGTCCATTGTGGCACATTGGTAGGGGTAGTGCTGCTGTTCCAAGGAATGCAAGGAGTCACACAACTGTACCTGTCCACTTTGCAGAGCTGCTGCTCAGTGGTCAAGCAGACTCCAATGCCTCGAGAAGTCCACTAGCCAGAGGGTACAGTGCCACCCCAAGGGTATACAGTCTTAACTCCCAAGCAGCAGAGACTCTTCCCTCTACATCTAGAAATGAGCAGCGGTGTGGCTTACACGGTGCAGCCTCAAGTGTGGATTTGGTTCCCTAACTCACTAGGAGAGAGAAGGAAGCACCAGAGCCTGGCTAGAAGAGGTGAAGTCCACCTCTCCAAAATGGAAGCTTCTATAAGGAACCAGCTTCCCAGCCCACACCTTGCCTAGGTCATTGAGCAATTGCCATGGTCACTGACAACTGCAGTGAGGCAAGCAGACCTACCAAGACAGAAGCACCAAGAAGGAAACATTTCAAGGAAGCTGGCCACTCCCCATGCTCCAGGCCAGGTCAGAAGGATGTTTTCTGTGCAAGTGGGCAGGTGGAGAGCAGGTCCCCACCCAGCCTCAGCCTTCTGCCCTGCTTTGGGGGCAGCACCATAGTCATACAGGAAGAGAGGGATGCAACTGAGCAGGGAGATGAACTCGCAAAAGCTGATAGGTATTACTAGTCTGAAACCAGAAGCAGGTTTGAACAGAGGAAGGATCAGAGCCCAGGGACCCACCACCCTCCATGTTGGAGAGGTGGACTTCATCTCTTCTAGCCAAGCCCTGGTGCTTCCTTCATTCCTGTACCTTAGCCAGCTCCAGTTTGTTCTGAGAATAAACAGCCCAGAACTCAGTCACCCAAGATGGTCTCCTTTCAATCTGATCTCCTGCCACTGGTGCCTGGGTCCTGGGAATGGAGAACTCCAGGGCCAAAGCAGAGTCAGCTGGAAGCACGTGGTGGAGATGCAAAGGATCTCTGCAGGAGGCTCTCACAAGTGGCAATTAATCAATGTGGAGAATTAGCTCCCACAAAAGGAAAGGAGGAGCTAACCCTGCACTGCAGAGCAGCACTGCGGAAAGTACTGAGCCAGCCAAGGTGGATATAAATAGAGCTCCAGCAGTTAGGTGCTCAGTCCAGCTGGCTCCACAGTGGGAGGCCTTTGACCACAGGGCTTTGGGCACTGGCTCCACCCAAAGGTACTACAGCTTGGTCATCTGAGCTTGGGTGTATGCTCCAGAGCTTTTGACCTGTGGCTAACATGAGCCAAACTGTGGAAGGAAGAAAGATGCCAGTCTGGCCTTACACCTGGGCCACTTCCCCCCGCCCTCGCCCCCAGCAAATCGAGCAATGAAGACTTGTGTTTAAGACTTGTGTTTAGTTCTATGGTAACTCATTGCTGTACCCCCCAAAGCCGGCAGCTTGGTAATTATGACAGAACCTCATTTCTACTCTAGTGATACGAATCTAGAGAGCACAAAAGTGAATTCAGCTGAGAGGCATGAACCTATTTCAGCAGGAATAATCAGTCTCTCAAGACCAGATAGAAGGCCACCCCACCAGCTGAGACCACACTGCTCACAAATCCCAGTTGTCCACTACCTGCCTCCTTCCTTCACTGTCCACATAGAGAAACAGCGCTTTGTTTCAATGTACATATATATACACATAGAGAAACCCACCAACTACATACAAGTGCATTTGTACCTATATCTATATATATGTGCAGTTTGGAAGATGGGGTGGAAGTCCAGCCCTCTCCTAAGACTCAGAAAACTGAAACAGAAGCAGAGGGCAGTAAAAGCCATTGTTTTCCTCTTCTTCACTTCCAAAGACATTTGAAGAGGTAAGAAAAAAGAAATCAACCTTATGAAGAGGGAGAGGAGGGGTAGAGACAAACGTCTTCTTGTCCCTCACTTGCCCCCTAATTTCTACCCATGGGCAGCAGGTCTGTCCCCAGCCCTCTGTCCTGTGGATAAGTCCAGCTGGACAGATCTGGGGGAGACCCTCTCACTCTGGCAGGAGCGAGGGCACACAGGTGCCACCAAAGGTCTGGGCCATCCCTTGGTTAACAGAAAAGGACAAAGCCCCGCACAATGTCCCTCCCTGCCCTCTTAGCCCAGCACCCTGCCCTAGGGACACTTAGAGTAGTTCGAGTCACAGCAGAGTGGCGTGGCCGGAGTCATCATGATCCACGCTGTTGATGATGGCCGTCTGGTCTTCTGGAAGTTGGCGGTGGCACAAGTCTGAAAGCCGGGCAAAGGGGTCAGGACGAGAGTGTCTCTTCTTCTTTCGGAGGCAGACAGCTTCGTCGGGCCACAGAACCTGAGAACTGGGAAGCTGCTGAGCCTGGGAGGCAGAACCGTCTACAGAGAGGGAACCAGACAGACAGACAGACAGACACACACACACACACACATACACACACACACACACACACACACACAAATACAGAGAGAGAGAAAGAGAGAGAAGAGAGAGAGAGGGTAAAAAGGAGGCTCTCAACCTCACCTTGTACATCTACCAGAGCTACATTCTGAGTTTCTACTGGAACACAAAAATCATTGAGTACACATGGACAATAAGACCAAATGGGTGCAGAGACCAACTTCCTTCACCACTAAGGCAATCAACAGCCCAACTCTGGACCCCTCCTTATAAGAAGCAAGGAAGGGGGCTGGGAAAGTGGCTCAGTGGTAGAGCGCTTGCCTTGCATGCCTGAGGCCCTGGGTTTGATTCCTCAGCACCACATAAGCAAAAAGAAAAAAGCCGGAAGTGGCGCTGTGGCTCAAGTGGTAGAGTGCTAGCCTTGAGCTGAAGAGCTGAGGGACAGTGCTCAGGCCCAGAGTTCAGGCCCCACAACCAAACCAAAAACTAAAAATAAAAAAGAAGCAAGGAAGTTGAGTAGTCATTTTTCTTCCTATAAACACATAGATCCCATCAACCAACCAATCTCTAGATATTTGTTTTGCAGTGCCTCTTGGGTACCAGGAATTGGAGCTTCTCAGAATGAACTGGGACTCCAGACATTTTTCTCACCCACCCCAAGCCATGGCAGACTTTCAATCACAGATGGCAGAGTCAGGCCTGGCCCCTTCTGGACCACCAGCACCACTTCTCTACCTCATGGCCCTTTGGGGAATGTAACGGAAAAGCTTTACTTTCTAGAAGTGTGATGGCGAGAAGGAAGAGACAAATCATCAAGACTTAAAAAAAAAAAATGCTAACAATGTGACAAGACAGATAAAAGAGGGCCATGGAACAGAGACATGTCACAGGGACACTGCTTCTGCTCCCTGAAGGGTTCACACCCAACTAGAGTTTCAACTTAGGAGCCTTCCATAGACCTGAGGGACAATTATTCCCATCTTAAGGAATGGCCAGCATAGACATGTCAAGTGCAGAGTAAATGTGGCACATTCTGGGGACAGAACCGAGGTCATAGAAAAGAGGCAGGAAAGATGGGGGAATTACAAAAGGAGTTTGAAATCTGTTCCAGTAGCCAAGGGAAGTTTTCTGGAAGGTTATAATCAGAAGTATGTGCACATGTATATACCCATGAAAGAGGATGTTTCAGATCCTCTAAAGGATCTGGTTGCTATGTGTGGAACACACCAAAGGAGAAAGAACCTCACAGGAGGGCAGGTATCTGGGAGATAATGCACCAGTGCAGGCAGAAGAGAGAGGACTCAGACTTCGGGGGAGGGGGTGTTGTTGCAGTAGACCACTCAGATACAGGGTTACAAAGATTGAGCCAACAGACTTTACCAAATGAACCAGATGAGCATCATGAGCGGAAGAAAAGAAGCCAAGGAGAAGCTGCCTGCAAAATGGGGCAGGAAGCAGTGCTAGTTACTACACTGGGGAGGAGTAGGAAGAAGCAGAATTGGAGAAGAGAACAAATGACTCCATCTAGGACATTGAAAATTTATATGAAAACAAGTGCATGTTCAACAGTCAACTGGAAATCTGAGACTCGACCTCCTAGAAGACACCTGGGTTAAGGACAGACATTTGAGAATCGTTAACACAGAACAGGCATCAGGATCACTGTCGTCAGAACAAGAAAACATACAGGCATCTACTGTGGCCTGCTTTGTAATAAGTCAATAGATTTTGCTTATTAACACTCACAATCATGTGCTACATAATGACATTTTGGCCAATAACGAACCATGTATACAGTGGTGGACCTATAGATGAACCCATATTGTCTTATCTGTGTAAACATACTCTATGAGCTCACTCAAGGGAAAAACTACCTAACAATAAAATTCTTAGAATGTAGTCCCTACTATAAAGTGACATGATGATATATACACACACACACACACACACATACACACACACACACACACACACAAACATACATGAGCGTAAGTTGAAATGGGTTTAAATCTGTTGAAAATGCAGCTTTGGGCTCCAATTTCTCACCCAAACCATTAAAAAAAAAAAAGTCATTATTTTGTCTTCTCTGACTCAGTATCCCCATCCATAAACTGACAGGAAACCAATGCCACCTGCTGGGTAAGTGATTCATCAGCAATTCCCAAGGAGATGAGGGCTTTCCCCTGCACATTTCTCCAGTGATTCCCAAGGAGATGAGGGCTTTCCCCTGCACATTTCTCCATAACCCTGTCTACAAAGAAAATGACTCAACAGCAGTCCTCAAAGATCTACAGAGAAGCTGCTCGGTTCTCCTCCTTGACAGACTGCCACAACATTCCTTAAGCCATCAGTGGAAACAGAATATTGGATAAATATCAAGGAATTTTCTAAAAGAGGGCTGAATTATTACTGCGCAATTTTAGAAGCCACGTATCAATGCTGGATAGACACTGGCCACAGTTCTGATAAAGAGGCTCATTGCAAGCTAAGTAGCTTTCTTTCACTTTATCTCACTGAGCCTGATCTATGCAACATATACCCTAAGCTCAACTGGAAGGCCTGACTCCTTAGAGGAGAAATACATAGGATATGGACATCTGCAAGGTGTGAAGAATAGGAGGGAAAAATACAATACTGTATATGTCATTCAAAAACACACTAAAGCTACATGATCTCTTCTCTAAAGCCCATATGCAGGTACACACGCCACCAAAAGTGGTCATTTCCTAGGGGGTGGAAATGAACTAGGAGGAAGGGCAATCAGATTCTCACCTCATCTCCCCCATTTTACATGAAAACCATGTGTGTGCTACTTGAAAATGAATGTATAAAAGGAAATCAAGCACAAGAGAAGCAGATGGATTCAATTTTAGAGAAAACCTAAGGCAGGGAGGGATCCTGGATCCAACAGTCCTCATGGTAAGGGCAGAGCAAGACCGAAAGAGGACCGGGAGCTCCCCCACCATTTACCGGATCGTTTCTTTGACTTCGAAGAGCCCTTGGATGACTTTTTGGGCTTCTTTATCCGTTGGTATTTCAGAGCCTCCAGCCTCTCAGGAGCAGCAGCATTCCCGGATGCAGGTGGAAGAATTCTGCAAAGGACAATTAGAGAGGCACAGGTCAGCTCCCAGATGAGGGAGCCTTCGAAGAGGGGCTGGAAGAAAACCAAAGAGCTGCCCACAGAAGGATGGAGCCCAGGCTGAGGAGTCCGGGGTGTCCACGATGGGTCCTTGACACCTGCCTTGCTACTGCTTCCTGGAAGGGAGAAAAGCCAAAACTCCAGCCGCAGGCGGCCTACCTCAGGTGGAAACCAACCTGGAGAGAAGACCCTGGGAAAGGAGAAAGAGACTTTAATAGTAAGCCCCATCACACGTCACCCAAGGCTGGGATGAGGAAGTGTCAGAGAAGAAAGACTCCACATGTGCCGTTTCCACAAATCACCAAAACCAAGACTTTTAACTGAAAAGTTAAAAAAAAAAAGGGCAGATTAAAGCTGGAGACAAAGCAGCTTCAACCCCAATGAACTGTCTTCCACAGAAGGGGGAAGTAAGACACCCAACACCCATTTAGATGGAGGCGACATGACACCCAAAGCTGGATGTGATTTCCCATCCACTTGCAAGACTCAGTCAGAACCTCACAGCAAATAGCAACAAGTGCTGGACATAGACCAGAACTTTTAGCAGGGGTGTCTACATCATTGCCCACAGACTCAGATTTCCTTGGTCTAATAAGAAAACAGAGAAGAAGGTGGAAGTGGATTATGGCACGTGTTCAAATCTACAGCCTCACAAATTCCCTTGCTATACAGTTAAGTATCCAGTCACAAGTACATAGATGCTGAAGTAGCTGGGAGAGGAGAACATATCCAGGCCCCTCTTCTACTACTTCAGTTATATCATGGATTTTGTCATTTGTCAGTAAGGACATGTGTAACTCAGGGAACAAAGGAGATCAAAGGAAACTGAGAAAAGGGCCGCGAGAGTCTTGTGCCTATTGGGAGAGAATTTTTCAAGAGTCATCAAAGAAGAGAATCTAGAAGACGTGTTGCTGAGGCCATTTCTTCTCAAAGTAAGCCAACTTGGAGCCTGAGGAATAAAAGGGAGAAAGAGAGACAGGGCATGCTTTTTTCCCACTAGTACTGGTATTAGCATATCAGAAGCACTAAAGCCATGTAGTGACTTACATCCCCGCCCCCCCCAACACTCCCCTCCATCCCATCACAATTGGGTTTTGATAAACCCTGATCTGAAGATGAAAAATCCTGACAAGAATAAAGAAGGAAGATCCCAAAGGTCAGTAAGCCATTTGAGATTGAGACCAAAAAAAAAAAAAAAGAGAGAAAGTAGGAAACACCATAGCCCCATCTCCCCAACATGGGATATTGAGGAAAGAAGGGACTTACAGCCTCATGGTAGGTAAATCTCTGGTCGCTGGAATTTCCGGCAGTAACTGGCAGAGAAGTGGCTTCCATCTTCTTTGATGGATACCATCAATCCAGAGCCTTTTAGTGCATAAAGTATTAAGTAGCTCCCCCAAAGTTCAAGTCAGACCCAACTTCTTCCCTCTCTACAGCCCCCTGCCATCAGTGCTGAGCATCCCACATGGGGCCATGTGTCTGTGCACACAGGCATACATATAGGCCACATAGGCAATTTGTCTCATAGAGTGGTCCAGCTCACATCAGAAGCCAACATGCCGGGTCCCCACTCCTTCCTACGTCCTCACTCCTTCCTCTTTTATAAACTCAAATCTACCCACAGACATTTACCACAGCGGCAGCTAGAAGGCAATTTGGAAGGTAAAGGATGAAAATAGGGTGGGAGGAGCCTGCCTTCCCTAAACTAGGAGAATGTGCTCACCTGCTTGTCAGCCTGGACCAAGGCTGCCTAAAAGGAAAACCATGAATACCCACCCACCCACTTTCCTGCCCGGCCTCTTTGGAAAAAATGACTTGACAGTGAGCAGTCTGTGGTCAAAGGAGGCAGATCCCTGAGTGACCCACAGTTACAGCTCAGTATCTGTTGTCCCAGGCCAACAGAAAGAGGTAGTGTTTTGAAACACATTTTCCTCCACCTCTTCTCAACTGGCTGGGAGCAAACGCCACGTGCCCAGTAAGATGCTGTGGATGGGATGCAAGAGAAATCCACTCCAACATACCACAAGTAGGAAATGGAGGAAACGCTGCAGGTTACACATGGACAGCCAAAGACTTCACCCAGCTGAGATCAGAACGTGGACAGGGTTCAAATGATCAGTGCAATCAATGTTCAGATTGTGCAAGAGGCTGGTAAAGGGAATGCCAGAAATACCCTGGAGATTCTTTAACCCAAGGAAAATTTCCACAGGAGTGGGGCGGAGGGTTAGATATTATTGTAACCATCAACATATTATTATCATCATCATTTTTTTTATCATTTTTATCATCATAATTTGTTTGCCACTTACCATGTCAGACACTGTCCTAGGTTTAACTACAATTGTCAATACTTACAGCAACCCCAAAAGGCAAATATTGTATTGACCCCATCTTCCAGATGGAGAGACTGAAGTTTAAAAAAGTTCTGCATCTTATCAAACCATCCAGTGATGAAGGGACAGAACAAGACTCTTTATATGAAGCTAAGAACTGCCCTTCCAATTCCTTCCCAGTAAATACAGGGGATGAAAGCTCCAATGGAACGAAAGTATGGCTTCATGCCAACACCATACCATACCACACCTAAGCAGTAAATCTATCCTGTCTGCACTCATTGCCAATCACTGGTGGTCTCTGCTCTCGTGTCCAAAATAGAGTAAGAAAGACTAGCAGTGAGGAGAACTAGCTGAGGTCATATCCTCAGACAAAAATCCTCAAACAATAATGATGCACTGACTAGAGACGCCAACTTTCCTTTGAGAAGCAGCCAAGCCTCTGCCTTTCTAGGACACCTGCTGGCCACCTGCTTTAGTGCCTGATGCAGCTCCCAGGCACTGCAATGTAGAAGAAAGACAACGCCTGAAGGTACCAGGACATTTGCCTAATGCCAGAGGAAAAAATAAAGCCAGTGTCTAGCAGGACAGATGGAAGGAAGGTGGACGGGTAAAATGGGTCTATTTTTGGCAAGTTCCAGAGAAAAGACAGAAAATATGTTCTATCAGACTTTTCCAACAGCAGGGCAGGCCCACTGGAATCAAGTTGCCTCCCTTTTTAAGGAAAGACACCACCCTCTGTCACTGGGACTAATCCCCTTTCTTGGGATACAGATGTTTTAGCCGGGAAGCTGGGGTAAAGAATTCCTTGCTGACTCTGGAGGAAAGTTAATGAGGTGAACCTGAGTTTGGCCTGTTCACAGCAGAATTCAACTGGGCTCTCCAAGTTGAGGTCTCAGTTCTCCTTCCAATCAGTCCAGATTTTTCTAAACATACAGTAGTGCTCTCAACTCTAGGGTACCCCTCCTTCTAGCAGTAAGGATACTAATGAAACATGAGGCCTCCATGCCTCCTATGCAGTTTTCTGGTTTCCTACTTCCCATAAACTCCAGTTCTCTGTCCCAGTGATGTTTCTTGACTCTCTGAAAATTGCCTAGGACTCAATATTTCTCCTCTCTTCTCACTCCTCTCTGCACTCTCTCCTCTCTCTTTTCTTTCTCTCCTCTCTCTTCTTCAAAACCCATGCAAAACCCCAACTACAACCATTTAGCCCAATAGGTCATATTTTCTTGGTATTCTGCTTATGTAGGGTAGCCAAAGAAAGAGGCAGCCAAGTGGATGCAGGCCAACCTCAGGACAGGAAAGTTTGAATCCATCTAGAAATTTCCTGCCCTCTGTGCCCTATGAGATAGCTATCAGCACAGTTCTCAATTATCCCTAACCAAAAGGCAGAGCAGTGGATTAAAAGCATGTTCCTCCTCCTCTTCTTAACTGCCTGAGACCAAACTCCAGTTGCCTGGGGAGTAGCTGTGGGTGGCAGGCACACTACCAACTATAACTCAGGACAGGTGAAATCACTCTGTGTACCCCATGAACATGCAGTCCACAGGTCAGGGTTTGACTAAGTGCTTGGCCTCAGAATTTAGGAAGAGCTCAAGTCCAAATGAAAGCTCCCTCCCCTGGTCCCCTGATAAAAGGAGGCCACAATCCTCCCATCCCCACCCTCCTCCATCATGGAGGTCCTGCTAATGTCTTAAAGGGGAAAGCGAATTAGAGACAGGGGAACTGGGGTGCTGCCAACATCAGAGGGGAGTTGAGTGGATAGCTCACACACACACACCCCTGGCCTCCAAACAGCCCACAGAAGAACAGGTCGACGTAATACAACTCTCCACATGGAGATGGGAGTTGGGAAGAGGGAGAAAAAGGGGAGAGAGAAAGAGAGAGAAAAGAGGAGGGGTTGGGAAAATGACACAGGTATAGGCAGAAGGGAGCAGGAGAGAAACCAACGGGAAAGGAAACAGATAACGCACATAGACAAGAGGCGTCACAACTTCTCCAAGCAAGACCGAGGGGGACACATGCAAAGGCACGGCATGAAGACAGCAGCTCCGCAGGGACTACCGGATCCCCATGGCCCCAGCAGCTCCTGCACCCCAGGGAGGCTCTCAGCAAGCAGGAGAGTGAGCAGAGGCGCCTGTTTGTTGTCTAGCACCATGAGGGTCTAACCCAGAGGACTATGGAAGGATCTGTTGTTCTAGGCCGGGCCCGGGAGAGGAAAACGGTCCCTTGTCGCTGCCCCTGGTTTCTGGGTTTGCCACAATAGTGATAGGATGACTGGTTTCCCTCGGATCTGGCAGGGTGTAGATATTAGAGGAAGAGGAGGGGTCAGTGGAGTTGGGAGAGAGTGGAAGGGACCAACAAGATCGAAATGCAGACACTTTCCAAGAGCTGGTCTAAAGCTACCATGCCCCTCCAGACAAGGAAAGGAGTCTTAATGGGGACAGTGGGGAGGATGGGGAAGGTGAGGAGTGGCCATTTTCTCTCCTGTGCAGCATCCACCCAGAAGGCTGCAGGAGGCCCTCAGAGCCGGTGAGCTCACAAACACCATGCTTCTACCAGCCTGGGAGACTGCAACATGACACACAGACGGCCTCACGGTGAAATTCCTGGGCCTCTTGTGCTATGGACAGTTTTATTACTGCATGCAGGAGGTCAAGCAATGTCAAAGGAGTCCTCCTCTTATGGGAAGTCACTCTGCATGAGATCTGTGGTCCTGAGTTAGGAAATGCAGCCTGCTGGGGAAGGAATGTAGCTCCTTTTCACCTGAGGAGATTGAAGACTGTATCTCCCATCCAGGCCCACAACATAATTTGTAGGTTCCCAGAAGCATGGGTAATGGAGTTTTGTTTTGTGTGGGTTTTTTTTTTTTTTTGTCAGTTATGGAGCTTGAACTCAGGGCCTAGGCGCTGTCCCTGAGCTCTTTTGCTGAAGGCTAGTGCTCTACCACTTTGAGCCACAGTTCCACATCTGATTTTCTAGTGGTTAATTTGAGATAAGAGTCTCACAGTCTTTCTTGTACATGCTGGGCTTTGAACCCTGATCCTCAGATCTCAGCCTCCTGAGTAGCTAAGATTACAGGTGTGGGCCACCAGAACCCAGCTTGTGGTTAAGAAAAGAACAAAGAAAAAGAAGCATCTTTGTGGGTTTATATGAGAGAGGGGGAGCCTGTGATTCCTGTGCCCCTTGAAGAGACTTGATGCCTCCGATAATGGCCATATTCTTTGGGCATCTATCTGGAAAGGAGTCAGGCACAGCAGGGCAGGCTGGGGGCAGGGGGGGGGGGAGTTCAGTGCTGATCTCAGGGGATTTCCTCCTCCTGCCAACTAGACTTCCTTTTGTCCAGGGAAACTGGCCTTCTTTTAAGGGGAGAGCATTCCCAATCATCTTATCAATGTGGACCTGAGAACCAGGCCACATTCTAGCCCTGTAACCACCAAGAAGAGGCTGCAGAGGCAAGGAGCGTGGGAAAGTAGGGACACTACTGTCCCAGCCTTGTCATGAAAACTGTAGACCATCCAATCTTGAGGAAGACCGAGATGTGGAAGGGAGGGACACTGAGTTCCTTGAGAGAACCTAACACCAAGGGGGCTGAGGGACCAGAAACCCCAGGGGATGAGTCTTTGGAGGGTTGCTAGGAAGGAAGGAGGCAGTAGGGCTAAAGTTGCTGAGGAAACAGGGCAGAGATGGTAAGGAGGGGGTCCTGGATTCCAGTATGGGCCCAGGTGTCTGAAGGCTGTGATGCAAAGCTGACTGGGGGGGGAGGGGACATTGTACATCCCTCGGGGTACATGCAGGGTCCTGAGTCCCCTGGGGGAGTTCTGGCAGCTCTGATGGGGGATCTGAGTGGAAGCAACTGCAAGAAGGCTCTGGGAAGGGCCAGAGGTGGGCTGGGAGGTTCAAAGCTTCGGCCAGGTAGTGCCCAGGTATGGCCAGCAGGCAGCTGGTGCAGTTGGAGCAGCGTGATGTGGGGAACCCAGAAGCCATGGGAATCGAGGAGCAACAGCTGCCCCCACACACACACGGGGCGGTGAGGGGATGTGGCTTGGATCCCCTGTCAAGGAAGCGATGGCCCTGCCAAAGCCCCATCCGCCTGCCCTCCCCCGCCCGGCCCAGCCGAGGAGCTCCCTTACCTATTGAGCTGAGGAGAGGCTTGTCTCGACAACACTGCCCAGATAGCTGAGATAATCAGAAACAAAGCAGTTACCAACACTGGCCAGGGAAACCACCCACGCACACCCAGAGGGGAGGAAGGGGGGCACAGCCAGCAGAGACCCACAGTTGAGGCCAGAGAATGGGTGAGGGAAAGGAGAGGAGAGGAGACGAGAACCAGACGCAGGATGGAACAAAGCAGGTGAGCTGTGTGTGTGCTGCACAAAGCACAGACAGGGCCCGTGACAGCATCTCCTGAAGAGAGAGGCAGGCACCCTCGCTTAGAGCTGCCCTCCTCCACCTCCCATGCTGCCTGCCAGGAGCACCCAGTGTTACTGGGGTGGGAGGTGAATTTGTGGTCCAGGTAACGGAGCAGATGGGGGGGGAGAGGGGGACAGGGAAGGCGCTCGGATCCCTCCTCCCCAACTACCTCCCAGCCCCTACGACCAAGCCAGCCTCCTCTGGAACTCTGCTCCCCACCACAGGCAGCTACATCAAGAAGAGAGACCAAAGTACAGCACCAGAAGGGGGTGACAGAAAGAGAAAGGGAGGAGGGAAAGGAGGACAGAGGAACGCTACAGTTACTTGTGGCAGGCTCTTGTGAGCAAATCAGGTCAACCCCCAAAGTCGATGGAGAAGGACAAAAGGTAGAGAGAACTGACTTGAGAAGGAAGGAAGGGCAAAGAGGAAGAAAGGGAGAAGAAGGGTAGGAGGACAGAGAAGAGGCACAGACAGGTGTCCAGGCCGACTCTGGTACCTGGAATACCAGCGGCTACAGTATAGAATGTGCTCACTCAGGCGGGCTGATCGCGGAAGCTTGTCTGTCTGTCTGTCTCTCTGCAGCTTCCTACGAGGCACATAGGTGGAATGGGGGAAGGAGGGTGGGGCACGTGGCTCCCTAAACCTAAGGCCCGAGCTTGTTGGCCTTACCTCCAGGATACACCTGTCTGGAGAGGCTGTGGACAGGGCCCGAAGTCAAGTGCTTACTAGAACTGCTAAGGGGCAAGGGTTGGGAACAGGAGAGTCCTGACCTGGTAGTCCAGGGAGGTGGGACTCCATGGTCCTGCTTAGCAAGCAGAGGCCATGGAAGAGGAGGCTGGATATGAACCACAGAGACCTAGAGGGCCTCAACTCCAATCACAGAAATCACTGCCCCCTATACCAAGTCCCTCTCCCCTTCCCCACATTCGAGGGTGGGGGGAAGGAAGGCTCTGGAAAGCTCTGGGCAGGGTAAGAAGCCCCTCGGGCCCCTTGAAGTTTCTTGGCAGTAACCCAGCTCTCCCGGTGAGCACACCCTGCCAATGCCTGGACAGGGATGCTGCGCAAGTCCAACCATGCTGGGGATGATGGAGAGTGGTGGTGGGCAGGGCGAGGTAGGGCGGGCAGGGAGTTGACCAGGGTAGATGGGCAGGAGACAGAAGCTCATACTTACCCTGAAGTAGGTAACGTTGTTGGGGGCTCTGGCCGGAGAAGCTCCTCCCCCATCCTGCGAGGGGAAGATGTCTGTCCAAACACATCCAAGCTCTCCCCGGGTGCTGCAGGGGCAGGGCCCGGTGGAGGGGAAGGGTAGCCTGTGGCCAGAGTGGTGAAGCCCATGGCAGGCCGGTAGCTGGGACTCCCGCTGCGGCTGCTCTGGGATGGAGAGCCGGTGGATGGCGTGGACTTGCGAGAGAAGCTGACTGCAGCTGGAGGCTGCAGGGTGATTTCTGACATCTCTGCTTGTTGTAGGAGGCCAGGGCGAGGCCGGGCTCGGGCAGCCAGCTCAGGGGAGCCGGTACGAGAGCTGAGGGGGCTTTGGGTCAGAGGTGAGAGCCGGGAGGGCTGTAGCACCACTTGATGTAAACTGGGCTCGGCGCGCCGGGCCTGCCGGGGGCTGGGCCGGGGCCGGGGCTGGGGTTCATACCACCGGGTGTCCAGGCCAAATGTGCTGGGGCCACCGTGCCCCCCCGGCTCAGCCGGCTCGGGGTAAGGCAACACAGGTATGCCCATGCCTTGGCTAGTATGTCTTAGCTGCCCTTGGCTGACCAGAGGTTGTATAGGTCTGTCCTGCCACTTGGTGGCCGGGGGCACTGGTACAGAGCCCCGGCCGGGTGATTTACCTACCCAACCCTTCGGTGCCTCCAGAGACAAAATGCCCGGGTAGGCTGCGGGCACCTGGAGGGAGGAGGGAGGCAGTCCTCGGGGCAGGCAGGCTTTGGGCTGCAGACTCTCGGCGACATCGCATGGGTGCAGCTGGTGGGGGAACATCATGGCTGGGGTCTCCAGCCCCCCAAAGGGGAACTCCGGCTGACCCCAGGGCTCTGGGGAGCGTCCTCCCGTGGGTGTCTGGGTCAATGGCAGCGTACTGTTGGAAGCATTCTCTCCGTTTTCCTCAGGGATCGTGGGGTGGCCGAAAGGTCCCTCCGAGTGCAGGGGTGGAGAGGACATGACCGAGCTCAGGGGACTGCCCACTTCCGGCATGTAGAAGGGGGGCGGCTCCACCTCCCCAGGGCTGCTGCTGCTGAGGTACCCATAATACTGGCCGTGATGGAAGGGCCGGGGGGCGGGGGGCCGCGCTTGGCCTGTGGCCTGCAGCCGACTTCCCAGGCCACTGGGACCCTCAAGCCCCCGGGGTTGAAATCGAGGGCTGTATGCTGGTGGTGGCAGGTAAGAGTCCTGGCTGGAAGACAGAGGGGTCAGCTGGGACTTGAGGGCGGCCACAGATGTGGGCACCAGTGGGTCATCATTTTCTTCATCAGACTGTCGGAACTCGGGGTACATGTCTGTCTCCTCAGCGAAGGGGAAGCCCTCGATGCGCCGGCTCTTCATGGAGGGCTCGATGTCAGAGGGGTCCATCACGAAGCGGCCATCGGGACCTCTGCTGATCAGTTCGATGGGGGTGGTGGCCTCAGCCTCGGCCTCAGCCTTGGCCACACTGTACTTCTTGCTGCTGATGGCCCTCTTGGTCTTCTTATACAAGGACAGCTCCTTCTCCCGGGTGGGGCTCAGCATCCTCTTGGCAGCAGGCTGGCCCTGGTCATCAGAGGACTCAGATGGGGGACGGAGCGTGCGGATGCTCTCCGGACTCACCTTGCCAGAGGACAAGCTACAGGGAGAAGTAAGAAAAGGAAGCAATGAGTGGGGCCTACAGCTTCTTTTCACTGTCTTAGCAAAACCCACCAATACCTTCCAAGGCAATACTAAAGAATAAGCGTTTAAGCTGGGAGCCAATGGCTCAGGCCTATAATCCTAGCTACTCAGGAGCCTATGAGCTGAGGATCACAGTTCAAAGCCAGCCCAGGCAGAAAAGTCCCCATGAGACCCTTATCTCCAATTAACCACTCAAAACCCAGAAGTGGAACTGTGGCTCAAAGTGGTAGAATGCTAGCCTTGAGCAAAAGAGCTTAGGGACAGAACCCAAGCCCTGGGTTTAAGCCCTACAACTCCGGGGGAGGGGGGGAAGGAGCTTAGATGGGCTGCATATTTTTATTGTTTTCATTTCAGTCAGAAGCCCCCTAGCAGACTCCTCGGTGTAGATGTGCATTGTCCCTTTGGGAGATGAACACACACATCGCTACTTTTTCCTCGGGCCTTCCCCTAAATGTGGCTTTCTATCTAAGCACACCTTCAGTGTCATTCCCCAGTTGTTCAAGAAAAGCAAACTCATGTTGAACATTGATTTAAGCAAGACATATTAAGGAAACAAATCCGTCAGGACAAAAAGAAATGAGAGCAACCCATTGCAAAACTAAGAGAAAGGAACAGCCTGTTGGTATGGACTTTATCTTTACAAGTGCTCTTTCCATCCACGTGGACAGCTTAACAAACACACACAAAAACAGGCCAAGGGAGGCAAACTGCCCACTGTGTGCAGCTTCCCCTCCCCCTCACCACCTACAGCCAGAGACACTTACGGAGACTCGAGACTCTTCCTGCAGTGAGTGATGGAGAGCGGAGGATCTAGAAGGAGAAAGGAAGGGAGAGAACCCATTAAGGTCTGAGCTCACAAAACGCCAACATCCCATAACCCAGAACCAACAGGGAGTCCTCACACGAAACCAGCCTCTAGGTCTGTGACTACCACTAGAAGTCTGTGGCTCCCCCACCCCTGTACCCTAAGACTATCCAACCCTCCCCACCAATCCTGCTCACCCCTTTCTCTCCTTCAAACCCAATCTCACTGGCATCTCTACCCATCAGTCTTCCGTTTTCCCACAGCAGGGAAGGGGAGGAATGTGGCAAACAATGCCTCCCCCTGCGAGAGAGCATCTAGACAGAGCCAGCTAGGACAGCGAAGGCACTCACCTTTCTTTCGCCTGAGCTTGCGCTTGCGCTGCCTGTTGACAAAGCAAGCAGCCAGAGTGCTGAACAGGATGGCAGCCGCCAGGAAGCAGATGGTAGCCACAATCCCAGCCAACACAGGCCGCGCCAACCCATCATCAGTCAGGTCCGGCTGTGGGAAGATGTCTGCAAGGAGGGCAGGAGCACTCATGGGTCCCAGACCCGCTCCAGCATCATCTACCCATTCTGACACTCCATCCCCAAGGATTTTTCCCTACTGCTTGGCTCCAACATGGAGTCTTTAAAGAGGTACAGAAAGGAACTAAGCTCCTTTGAGTCATTAGCAGATGGTTTAATTAAATGAATATTAAGAAGCTGAAACATGTTTTATCTGAAGAGAGCGGCTTTAAGGAGTGGGGAATGAATAAGTGCAAATGAAACTAGGAAGTTTGAGGGGATGGATGGGCTGGGAGAGATGGGGAGGGAGAATGATGGGAGAGATGGCATTAATCAAGATACATTGTACTCATAAATCGGCATGTTGAATTGAAGCCCCTTTGTACAACTATTTAAAGATAATTTTAAAATAAATTTATTTTAAAAAGAAAGGAAGGAAGGAAGGAAGGAAGGGAAGGAGGGAGGGAGGGAGAGAGAGAGGGAGGGAAGGAGGGATTACATGTGGTGGTGCACATCTCCCAGTCCAGCTACTCAGGAGAAAAAGGTCCAAATCCTTTCTCACAACAACAACCTGAGCACAGTGGTACTTGTCTATAATCTCAGCTGCTTGGGAGACAGAGGTAGGAGGATCCAGGAATGAGATCAACTCAGACAAAAATATGAAATCCCATCTGAAAAAAAAATCCAAAATACCAGGGGGCATAGCTCAAAGGATAGAGGACTTGCCTAACAAATGTGAGGCCCAGAGTGTGATCCTAATACCACCAAAAGAAAAAAAAATGTAAAGAAGTGCTGGGAATGTAGCTGAGTGGCAGAGTGCTTGCCTAGCATGCATGAAACCCTGGGTTCAGTTCCTCAATACCACATAAACAGAAAAAGCTGGAATTGATGCTGAGTGCTAGCCTTAGCAAAAGAAGCTCAGGGACAGTGCCCGAGCCCTGAGTTCAAGCCCCAGACTGGAAAAAAAATAAAGAAGTTTATAAGTTCATTTGGTGGTCTGAAAAAGGAGAAAAAGAGACTACCAAAGTCAGGTAACCTCTTCATAAGCCATAAAGAAGAAATGATATGCACATTTCTCCCCGTGGAGTTCACCCATCAGTAAACCACCTACATCTGCCTAGTACCATACATGTTGGTAATCAAAACTGCCTGCATTTCTTCTGTGAACAAGAGGTGGCCTATTCCCATGGTACAGGCAGCACTGACCACTGGATCTGAGTGACTTGCTCATGCCCTTGCCAGATTCAGGCATTCTGACCTCCTGGATTCCTTGCCTTCTTTCATGCTGTCTTGGCAAAAGACCCACCATCTCTTAAGTCATTTCAAGGACACAGCATGCAACGTCCTACAGCAAGGATTAAATGTATCCTGCTCACCCAAGCCATGGAGGACTGCTAGGTGAGAGGGGCTCAGTTCTCCTCCTTTACATAGATTCATGGGGCTAACTTGAACCCTAGCCCTAGACTTCAAGGTCTTGGCAGGGACGAAGACCTCAGCCCAGGCTCCTGGACCCACCGACAGTCAGATCAGTAAGTGCTCTTCTTCAGGTTCATCAAAGGCAAAAATCGATATATTGAGTACATTTGGACAGAGTTCAGTGCCATGTCAATAATAATAACAGAGAAAAGTAATCCAAATTACGCTGATGGATTCAGTGGAAACGAATGCCACAGCCTTGGGAAATGGGCGGGGGGAAGGGGGAGGGGACGGGGTAAGAGGGGCCTTAAATCCAGATGACACTGAGGTAGAAGGCCGTGTGGAATCCTCAGACTACCTACTTCCTTTCGGGAGCCAGGCATAAAGCTACGTACAGAAGCAGGCATGGAAGAAGTGAGCCCTCAAAACAGGCAAGCTTTCTACTTGGGCTTTGGCTGTGGCCTGCCTTTCTTGTTCCTCCATCTCTCCAAGTCTGAGCCCTTGTTAGAAGCTAAGACAGAAGGAAGCTGGGTTCTGCTGCCTAGAGAAGATAACTGTTTTACAGAAAAAAAAAAAAAAGTCCCAGAGTGGCTTAATATATGACAGAAATCACACGCTCTTCTCCCCTCCCCCAATCTCTACTCTCCCCCAACCTGCCCAAACAATGCTCTGGTAATTCCTGGAAGCTCCCATACATGGCAGGGGTTTTGTTGTTATTGTTTTATTTTGTTAGCCAAGATCCTTGCCCCCCCTGGGTCCCAGGTGTCTCTCTATGCAGTGGCTTGATTACTAGGCAAGAGCCTCTTCCATACCAAGAACACCGTTTCTGGCAGGGAGCGAAACTTGCTCTGTGTTTGACGAACAGGAGCTAGAGAGAGATGTAAAGATATGGGACCCATGCCAAGACAAAGAAAGATAAATTGAGAAAAATGCTAGGGAGTTGGCTTTATTTAGCCTGACAGAAAAAAAAAAAAAGAAAAAAGGAAAAAATCTACAGAGAGGAAGGAAGGGAGGAAAACAATACCAAACAACAATTTTCCAAATAAAACCCACATAATTATAAAGAAGCCCATAATAGGCACCCCATAAACACATGTTGACCTGCTGTCTCTTCCCTCCAATTCCCAGGCCTTCCCCCACGACAGCACAAAGCACCAGAAGAAAGGGGGAAACATATACCAACTAACACTTAAAGCAAGTTTCTTTCTGACAACCATGATGAGAAGAGTCATGGAATCTCCTACAACTATCTTGCAGAATTGTCAGAAGGTCTTTTAAAAGGGATAAAATACCTTGCATCATAGATGCACGGACCGGACAGGTTTCCAATATGCTAGGACCTGTGCAGTGTCAACTAGACATCTCCTTAGTTTCCAACCCAGCCTGGCCCCCTGGTTTAGCTATTCCACAGAAGGACTCACATGGCTTTGCGGCTGACATCTCTGTCAGTGTAAAACAACCCCTAGACCCTGGAGTACCTGTGCTGGAGACTCCGGCAATGTTGCTGGGCTCGCTGATCAGATCCTGCATGACAGCCAGAACCCGGAACTCATACCAGGTGTCCTAAAGCCCCAAGGACAATATCCAGTCAGTGATGGACTTGGGACACCACCCCTTTCCCACCTCCCCCTCCTGCTTCCACACTACTGATCCTGCTCAGCACTCCCATGGGACCACGGTACGTATGGACTGATAAAAAGTGATTGTTCACCCTGGCCAATGGCTCTGGTGTAAATACTCCCACCAGGGCTGATTTCCAGGATATGCTAGATCAGAACTAGGAAACAGGCTGCTGCTGCCTTTCTCAAGATCCAGAGACATTCAGGTTTTGAGGAGTCCTCTGGAGAAAAGCTAGATGCTTTTGTCCGGGGACTCTAAATGGTGAAAGGAAGGGTCCTTCCCTTGGCAAGCTTAGAAGACACATCCTTCTAGACCCTCTCAGCCCACTCCACTGACCTAGTGAAGAGGTGAATCCAGGGTTCTAATGATCCATGCCAGCCTCTCACCTTGACCTTCCCTGCCCTAGCTGGTGTCTGCTTGTTAGGGAGAACCATCAGTGCAGTCCCCCATGGCCACCAAGTTGGCCCCCCTGGATCTTGAGGACCAAGTTCAAATCCTACCAGCAGATCTAGGAGAAGCCAGGAGTGTAGGTGAGAAGATGTAACATAAAATATGACCTCCTTCAATTGACTTGGGTCACTCCAAGTTTCCAGTGTCACTTCTAGAATCAGGGGGAAAGAGAAAAGAAAAGAAAAAAGAAAAGAAAAAAGAAAAAAAGGAAAGGAAAGAAAAGGAAAGGAAAGAAAAGAAAAGCAGGGCACCAGTGGCTCACACCTGTAATCCTAGCTACTCAGAGGCTGAGATCTGAGGATCACAGTTCAATGCCAGCCCAAGTAGGAAAGTCTATGAGACTCTTCTTTCCAATAAACTACTCAGAGTTGGAAGTGATGCTGTGGCTCAAGTGGTAGAGCGCTAGCCTTGACCCAGGACAACATCCAGGCCCTGAGTTCAATCCCTAGGACTGGCAAAAATAAATAAAAAATAAAGAGGCCAGGACAAGCAAAGGCTGACCTGTGACAAATCCTTGGCAAAGAAATCCCCATCAGTTCCTGGAATGGCATCATCCAGCATTTCCCAGCGCTCCCCGACTCGGAACTCCATGACATAACGGTCGATGGGGAAGCTGTGATTGGCAGGCGGGAGCCAGGACAGGAGCACACCCTGCTGGGTCCGATTGGCTGTGAGGCACCTTGGTGGGGTAACCAGCACCAGGGGTTCTGGAGTTGTAATAGGGAATGCTGCAGCAAGGGAGGGAGAAGGAGGTTGGCACTGGGAAGGTGGAGAGTGCTGTGGTGGCCTCCCCCACCCACTCAGGAGCCCACCTGGGCCCACTCAGGAATGAAGGTGGCATTGCAAGGACAAGGGAGTGGGATTTAGAATAGCCCTCCTTGTTTAAGGGAAGACGGAGCCAGAGCTTCACGACTCTACCTTCATGGTAGGTTCAATGAACTCTCACAGGGAAGCAGGTACCTCCTCAAAGGACAACTACAGGGAAGGGAGAACTAAGTGTGCTTCTAGTCATGTGCTACATGACACATGGTCAATGAGGAACTGCAGAAGACTGCAGTCCTGTGAGATGAAAATGGAGCTTAGCCTCTAGGGACAGCAGGTCCCTCTGGTGCTCATGGGGAAGCTGGTGCATCACATTGCCTATGTATTAATGTGCAGCTCTGTACAGCCCAGAATTCTTAATGCAGAAATTACAGGATGATGTTGCCGACTTGCATTCTATTGTTAAAGTATACACCTACTTTTAAAAAAGGAAGAAAGAAAGAAAAACTTTCTGGCAAAACTACTCTGCTCTGCCAGAACTCATTCCATCCATCCCATGTTTACCGTGTCTCTTGGCTGCATCTTTGTTCTTCTTGTGTCCTACCATCTTGGTCTGTGTAAATACACACTGTGATGTTCACACAACAACAACACTGCTTGACCACACCCTCCTCAGGGATGCTCAGTACATGTCCCTGTTATTAAGCGACACATGGTTCTAGCTTTTGTTTGCCTCCCAGGAAGGAGGAAAAACTTCACCCAGCCGGCACGCTGTTCATGTGTTCGATTCTCTTTCTGGCCCCAGAGCACAACATGAGACCCAGCGGAGGCATTTCAGAGCTCAGATGAGCATCTTACACACTTGTTGATTCCCTGTGGCCCTGTAGAAAAGGACTGGAGAAACCAGCTAGAGTTGTGCCCTCCCCTTCCCCCCAATCTAGGAAGAGCCAGCTCTGCCTCACAGAGCACCCACAATGGTAACCAGAAGCAAACCCACCAAATAGGTAGCTTAATAAGAAAGGGTGTGATACAAAATCTCTCCCTTCCATCTGAGGATGCCATAGGAATTTGGAATAGGTGAATGCTACAGGGTGACATGGAAAATCCCTAGTGGGAAACCAAATGGAACCATTACAGAGAGCACTTAGTAAGTAAGGTGTTTGGTACTTACTAAGCCCTTCGATGTTGACACTAAGACCATTGCTATCATTGTCTTTGTCTACCCCAGCTCTGCTAGGAAGAGCCCCCAAGACTCTGGCCTCACCTAAAGTGTTCACAGTGACCACTTCACTGAAGGCGCTGGTTCCCAGCTTGTTCTGGGCCAGGACACTGAACTGATATGCAGTCTCAGGCTCCAGGGTATCCACCAGCAACCAGTTAGGGCCCGGTGGCACTGACAAGGACAGCCAGTCGTGGGGCCCAAACTGTGCCCGCTTCATCCTGGCCAAGAGAGAGAGAGAGGATGGGGGACAAGGGGTGGGGTGGGTCACACTGGAGAGAAGAGCATGCATACAAGGTCCTCAAGGAGAAGGCAGTGAGGGGACAAGCATTCCCAGGCTCAAGGGAAGGGAGAGAGGATAGCCAAGGTAGGGGTGAGGGAGTGACCTGCCCGGCTCTAGCTGTGCCAACCCTCCTGCGGCCCGGCTACCTGCCCCTGCTGGTGCAACCCTACAGAAAGAGCCTGACAAGTACAAATCATGCTGAAGACACTGGTCAGAGGACCAGGTGCTTTGTGGGAAAATCCCATCCTGAGTGTCACCCTGCAAGAGGGCTCTGCCTGGGGACAGTGGGGACACTGGATGTCAGGATGAGCAATATCAGGACTAGCAAAGGAACCTCAGTGACCTTGGCTGGCCTCCCTAACGGGACCGCTAAATGTAGGACCCAGAGGAACCCTGGGAGCTCACTCAGTCGAGTTACATCGGGTCATCTAAAAGTGTCCAAGATATACTACAAAACTGACCAGAGATATCCCCATCATGGGACCAGGATTCCTAAGGCTTGAGGGTTCAACACTACAGTCAAGGGGGTGGTCACAATGCAAGTGGAGCGTCGTGAGATGAGGCCTGAGGGTTTCCCACTGTTTTAAAGGAACCCCCAAATCCCAATAGGCAATGACACCACCCTGGTCGGAGTAGTACCACTATCTTACCACAAGGAGGAGACACTGTCCTGTGTGATTGGCATACTCCTTGCAGCCCTGAACTGTAACTAAGCTGGTGCCCACTGGGTTTCCCTGCTAGGTTGAAAGGCTCCCTATCATGTTTGCCCAGGAGTGTGAGCTGAGGCAGCAGAAAGCAAGCATCGCCAAGAAAAAAAAAAGAAAACGAAAAAGAAAAACACTGGCAACCAAATATCTGAGTCAGTACAGAGTTGAAGGCAGTCTGAAAGAAAGGAAAAATAGAGGACCAACACAACCTGGGCACACCACACCCTGCCCTTCCCCGTCCAGGGCACCAAAGCTGGTGGGCAAAGGGTGTCAAAGCAATGCAGATGAGCAACGGTGTGGAGCAGCGCCACAAGCAACAAGGGGAACCCACACAGGCACCCCCAAAGATGGCTGAAGCCACACCAAACACCTCTTCCCTCACAGTGCTGGGAATTCTGATCCTGCGTATCCGTGTTACCCTCCCCCCCCTCACCCCTACACACCCACTGTGGAGGAACAGAGCTAAGGCTTGGGGGCATCTTCTGGCTACAGCTGCCATCATCTGGGTCACAATTCACCAATCTAGAACCCAAAACGCCCACAGATTACCCTGCCTGGGAACGGTTCCCCAAAACCACTGCAGAAATCAGGGCCCAGATCCTCACAGACCCTCCTGCAGCCTCCCATGCAGTTTAAAGATGTATCAAAGGATTCCCCGGCATTGTGTTCTGCAGACTCAAGTCCAAACAAGGCTGGAAACATATCCGTGTGAGTCTGGATCTGACAGGAGGAAGGCTCTTCCCTACCTAGAACATCACCAGGACCCAGTAGCCTGCAGTTGTTGGCTCGGGACAGGAGTGTAAGGAGAGGAAGACCCAGAGCGATGGGAAGGATTCCTCTGGGCTTTTCTTACCATCTTTCTTATGCTCCTATCTGCAGCATGGTCCATACAATTTTGAGATCTGTATCTACCCAAAAGGTTGAGACAAAGATCTCACATCACTGATCTGCCTAAATTACTAATAAGGACATGAAAACAGCAGGGACCCAGGGTCTTAGGGAGGAAATGTGATGTTGAAGACAAGTCCAGGAACATGAACGCCAGGTCTCCAGAACCACTGGGCAAAGGACAGCCTCAACCTGGGCTCTTCCCCAAATGCCCTTAACGATTCAACACAGAGTCTCAGCCAGACACTGGTAGTTCATTCCTATAACCCTAGTTATCAGAGGCTGGGATCCAGAGGATCATGGTTTTAAGGCAGCCACCATAGAAAAGCCTATGCAACTCCATCTCCAAAACAACTAGCAAAAAGCAAGGTTGGAGGTGTGACTCAAGGGCTAGAGTACCACCAAATCAAGCAAGCCAAACAAGCATAAATCCCTGAGTTCAAACCCCAGTACTACCACCACTTCCCCCCCGCAAAAAAAGGTATTCTCCTATAGATGCCAGAGGACGCTGGATAAAGAATGAGACAGAACACAAAAGTCGGGGTGTGGCGTAGGCATTGAAATAAAGCCAGGGAGAAAGCTGCAGAGGGTCAGGGTTAACTTTTAAGTGAAGACCCCAATTGGTCTCCTCAACTTCTCTTGTGGGAACACGGAGTGTCTTGAGTCACCCATAAAACCTAGTCACTGTCTGATCCTCTTTGCTGTCTGGAGAGGTGGCAGATGACAGAGACCCACAGTGTCCTTGGACCTTCCACCCACCCTGGGTCTGCCTGAGTCGGGCAAGGGAGGGGGAAGCAGAGAGCAAAGCATGCAGGGCTGACTCACAGAGGTCCGTACCAAACTGAGAATGTCTGCTCGAAGCCTCCATCATAGCCTGGCTCCCAGGACACGTTGGCAGTTGTCATGGAGACCTGGACACGGACATTGCCCGGGGCATGGGGGCTGGTGCCTGGAGACCAAGGGAGACCTCTCAGACTGAAAGGAGCTGAGCTCATTAGCTGGGCACCTGCCATCCTGCTGTAGGAAACCCAAGAGGCCAGACGATGATGGAGGCTCTGAGGCTCCATTTCCTCTGACCCTGCCAGGTCTGACCCAGAAGCCGTCCCACCATGCAATCAAGTCTCACTAGCAAGAGGTCCAGTGAATTTGGGAACTGCTCTCATCTTAAACCAAACTCCTGGGCTCTACTGGACTCAGAAGCACCAAGAAATGTTTCCTGTCTCCACCAGAATGCTGGTGTGGCACACACATCAGCCTGGGTCTGAGTCCTGGTTCTACCAGGTATGGGTCTTGCCTCTGGGGAGAAGCCAGGTGCTTTCTGAGGTTGTGAAGGATGAGGTGCAGAGCCTTAAACTGGTAGTAAATGCTCAGTGTTGGTCATTAGGATTCAAAGGGCCAGGCTAAAAGGGAGGGAGAGACTGAGTGTCTGTACACACACACACACACACACACACACACACACGTCCCAGGTAATTAGAACCAGGGACATCAATCAGCTTCCTCCAGTTCTCAAGTTTGAGCACAGTGCCCCCACTTGATTCTCCCTGATTCCGGTCCCTCCCAATTGCCCACACTCAAGAGACTCCCTGCTGGCCACACAGCTACCACTGTGTCAGGTGAGTCCATCTACTCACCCCTTCCCAAGGTCAGGGGCCCTTTGTGGCCATTCCTGTACCCAGCTCCCACAGGATGACAGCTACAGGTGACAGGCTGTATTCAGGGATGGCTGACCCAGGAACAGTCACTGGGGAAGGTGCCCCAGGTTCCCATGCCCGGCCCCTGCCTGACCCAGCCAGCCACGTACCGATGACAGTGAGGTGGGTGCTGGCAGTGATGCTCGTGACCACGTTGGTGGCGACACATTCCCACTCCCCATGGTCCTCCTTACTCAGGGCGCGGAACTGAAGACTCCCGCTGGGCAGGGCATTGTGCTTGCTTCTGCTGGGCTTCCCTACCTTGCCAAACAAGGGGGCAGGAAGGAGGGCAGGAGCAGGGACGGAGATTAGGAGAAGGTAACACGGGAGTCCGAGGAGGAGGAGGAGAAGGGGGAGGATGGTAAGGGGCCATCCCTGGGCCCTCAGACCACTACTGACCCTCCTCAGCACCCACAGCTTCCAGGATGTCACCTTCCCACGGGACCAGTGGCCTGTCAGAGCAAGTCTGGGCAGAACTGGTAGCCATTCCTCCCTGCAGCCCAGGAGTTTCAGAGCCCAGGTACCTTTCTCCAGGTGATGACGGGGAAAGGGTCCCCTGCGGCTGCACAGGGGATGAGCAGCTCCCGGCCAGCTTCCTGCCTATACTCCCAGCCTGGTAGCACCGTGAAATACGGGGGGTCCTGTGAGGGACACAGGCATACGTGTGAGCTGGCAACCAGCAACCTGCTCTCAGGGAGGCCCCAGATAGCCATCGGGCCTCACCTTCAGGACAAGCCTCGCAGGGGCAGACTGGCCCATGGTCCCCAGGGTGTTGTAAGGCACACATGTGTACGTGCCAAGAGCCTCTTCTGTAGCCTCCTCGATGCGTATGGAGCCATCGTCCATCAACGTCCAACCCAAGTTCTGCCAGAGAAGACAACAAGGATGGTGGCGACCATCAGGAAAGACAAGGAGTCCGTCTCCCCCCCCCTCCGCCCTTTCTACCCCCCCCCCCCCGCCCCCTGCAAGACCTGAGCTTGGTTCAGCAGAGCACAGGACAGAAGAGCAAGTGACAACCTGGGACAGGAAGATCCAGGATGCCTGCAAACTGCGGTCAGGTACTGAGTTCTAGCATTTACAGCTGTTGGTTTTTCCCAGAAGGGTTTTTGTTTAATGGTTTGTATTGGTTTGGTTTTTTTTGGAGGAGGAAGGAGAAGCTGGCAAAAACCACAGGCTAGAGGTCACAATCTTAACATTTCAGGTGCTCCTCATTCTAAGCACGCGTGTGCGCTCGCGCACACACACACACACACACACATCACCAACACCACCACTGCCCTGCTGTGCATTCTGCTCATACCTTCTCAACCTGCAGGGGGCGCCCATCCTTGTTCCACTTCACCACCGTGGCTGGGGGCTCTGCATCCACAGGGCAGCGGATATATCCATGGATGCCCACGGGCACATAAATGACAGAGGGCATGTTGAGCACACGGGCTGGGTCTGCAGAGAGACAGCGGGAGCAGAACAGAAAACTGTCAGAGAAGCTACATGAACAAGGGAGACAGAGGCAGGCCAGCGCACACCCAGATGTTCCTGCCAACAAAGCAGAACCTTCGCATCCACCCCCCAAGCCCACAGACTCACTGTGTGCTCGGTTCTAGGTGCCAGGACTAGCGCATATAATAAGAATAACTAACCTAACTCTCTTAGACGTAAAGCCTAGGGGCTACGTACTGTTGGTGGGGGTGGGGGAGCAGAATTCAGTTTTCTCTGGTCTGCCCAATCTATTGTTTGTGTGTGTGTGTATGTTCCAGAAGTTGGGCTAGAACTCAGGGGTTCAAGCTCTCACTCAGATTTTTCAGTAAAGGCTGCAAGTCTACTCTTTGAGCTACACCTTCACTTCTGGCTTTTTGCTAATTGGAGATGAGAGTGTGATGCAGCTCCAAATCTTAGTCATCAGATCTCAGCCTCCTGAGGAGCTGTGATTACAGGCATGTGCCACGAGCACCTACCTTCTATTGTGTCTTTAAGAACTGTAAGAAATACAGCAAGTTTTCAAATGCTTGGAGACATTCAGAGGTGTTCTCAACTGCCCAAGTGTGCAGTGCTTGGAAACGCACCTTAAACCAGACTGCCTGTCAAGCAAGGTGCTTTGATTGCCCAGTTCATTTCTCCAGCCCTCAAATTCTGAACCATAAACCCATGCCCTTTCCCAACCCCTCTCCTTCCTGAAGTCTCTCTTGGGAGCAAGCAGTTCAGTCTCTAGACATCCTAAGCCAAAAGAGCAATGTCAGGTCTATGCACAAGGCCATCACAGGCATAGCACGTGGGTATTATATTTTTTCTTCCTCCTCTCTGTTCCTTCTGCTGGTTGTCCGGCTTCAGTGTTGCATCCCATGGACCCTGCAGTTGAAATGCAGACCCCACCTTGGCCACAAAACAGAGGCAAGCCCTGCGCTCCAGGCTGAGTCACCTCCTCTCAGTTCTCCCCAGATACCCCTGAGGGCTATGGAGAAGAAGATCCAGAATGAGGGAGGCCTTGAGGATGAATGAGCTGGTGGTACCTTTTAAGCATTCTGAGCTCTTCAGAGAACAGTGCATTACATAAATACCAGGCGGAGTTATATATTTAGACATAGCTTCCCACTTTTGTATGGTAGAGTTTTTTTTTTTTAATTCCTCCAGGGTTTTCAAAGGGTTTATGAATGAATGGGAAATACTCTGAACACTGCTCCTTAGCAGAAATAAAGATCCTTGTCTCACCCACCTGTAAATCTCAACCCCCTGGATTCCCTTTGAAGCAGAAGAAGGTAAAAAAGAAGACGTTGGAGTGGGAAGAGATGTTGGTGCCAAGGAGAGACTAGTAACGAACAGACTTCTCCAACAGGTTGATGGCCTACAGCTTTGAGGGGCCTTTGCCTTGGCTGCTTCACCATCTTTCTGAAGACTACAGCTTTGCGCTCCCTTTCTTCACCCTACTTTCCACTTTCGTGGCCAGATGGCAAGGCCTGTGTCCAGAATGGAATCCACCTGTCTTTCCTCTCTAGCATGGCCACATCCTAAGTCACATATGAACAGCATCTCACTTGCTTCTCCCAGATTCCACTCCAGCATGCTACAATTCCCTCTGAGCTGTCATGGTACAAGACAACAAAGGCCTCTGACTCCTCCACAAAGTTATCCATGAAGATGAGGAGACCAAGTGAGAGGAAGGGAAGACTTCCATAGGATTCCGCATAACCAGGTGGCTCCACCCGCCTACTATCAACACAGATCCATCCACACACCCATTCTGCAGCAGCCAGAGTGGCTCTGCCTCCCAGGGCCACCCATTGGTCCTCTACTCGTCCTCAGCTTGTAGGCTGGCCCCTCGCCAGCCCATCTCCACATTGCTTTACTGATCACCCCTGCCACACTCCACATCCCTGAGTACGTACAATTCTCCCACAGCAGCCTCAGTCAGCAACAACCCGGGGCCTTTGTTGCCTGAGTGACAGAGCCATCCACTAATCAGAGGGAAGACATTAATCCTCATTACTGATCCTTCTCTCTCCCTCTCTCACAAGGCTCAGCCTGCCAAGGGGTAGGAAACCACCACCGGTGCTCAAGTATTAAAGATAAGCAAACGGAATTATTCTGCTGACACAGAAACCCTCGATTGTTCTGGCTGAGAGGCAGCACATTCATTTGGATCTCTCGCAACCCCCAGAGAGGAGGGTGTAGAAACTGGACTGAGTTACCCTGGTAGGCCCTACTCCCCTCCCCTCATAGTATAGGAAGCTGAGTGCTGTAGCTACCAGAGAAATGAACCCTGCACTGATTCTAAGATCCAACCCTCAGATACCTGAAAAATGCACCTAGTAGTTAGCAACTCGAGGTACAGATGAGCCAGCATGCAATGTAAGGATCATCTTCCCAAAGGGCAGTTGTTCAAAGGACAGGTCTGCATGTTCTTGAACCCAACCTAAGCTTGAAGCGCTGAGTTAGTTGACGCCTCATGGTCAGGCCTCACCCACAGAAGCTGCCTAGCAAGTGTCAGCTCATCCTGACCGGCCAGCCTGGTCATGGACTCTTTTAGAACCTGTCTTTTCCTCCTTTGGTCATTCCTTCACCCACACTTTCCAAAACAAGGTGCTTGCTCTTTGGTGCCCTCTGGCCTCCAACCTGGCTATCACATAGCCTGGAACCTTCTGGAATGGCCAGAGGCAGTCACTCTCCTAGCTATCTACTCACACTGCACAGTCAGGTACGCTGAGGCAGAGGGGGATCGCCCCAAGCTGTTGCTAGGGACGCAGGTGTACTTCCCGGCATCTTCCGGCTTCACCCGGAAGATGATCAATGTCCCATCGATCAGGATCCGCACCCTCAGCTTCAGGTCACTGCAGAGCGGTTAAGGAGACATAAAGGGTGTTGGCCGGTGGGTGAAACTGTCCAAGCCAGGCAAACAATGAGTCAACTTCACCTCGCCCCGTGCCCAAAACTCCCCCCAATACACAGATCCTTGCCCCTAGAAATCTGGGGTGGAGGAGGACCCCTGTGAGAGGGTCAGAACAAGATGCTGCTTACTTCTGGAAGTAGACATTCTCATCCTGCCAGTACCAGGTGTAGGTGAGGTTGCCGGGATACGCCTCTGCCCTGCAGGTGAGCAGGGCATCCTGGGAGATGTTGACGGTGATGTTCTCAGGAGGGGACACAATGAAAGGAGGCCCTGGAGGGAACAGGGAACAAACATCACCTGTCCTGAGGGGGAAAGAGCACACAGGAAGGCACAGGGCAGAAGCCAGAGGTTAAGAGGGTGGCTCAGGGAGAGGAGGCTGGGGAGCAGAGGGAGGGTAAAATTCCAGCAGGCGCTGGGGCTGGCTTGACAGACACTGGCAGGCTGCAGTCTGGCCCTCTCCCAAGAGAGGGACAGCTTCTCACCACGCTGCAGAGGGACCTGGGGTCCCAGCTGCTGCTCAACCCTCAGTGGCAGGAGAAGTGAATGCCACCACAGCTTCTCTGTCCGTCCAACTAGACTCAGCAGCCATTAATTCCTACTGTATCCCTTCACTAGCTGGAGGGTAGGGAGGCAGGGACCTCTGCAGACAACCCTGCCCATTCTGAGTAGTCAGTGACCAGCCCTTCTAGGGCATTCTGGAGCACAGTCTGGACAGACTGGCATCTCTCAATGCTGACTGTACAGACCCCGGGTCTGCCAAATGCCCTCAGTAGTGTTTAAATATCTGGGGCTTGGACTGCATTTCTGTCTTTATTTATTGATGCCAACACTAATGGATAGATGACCGGAGGGAGGTCTCCTCCCTCGGGGAGCCATGACAGAGATGCTCCCCAGACAGAGCGAAACCGGAAACGGCCCAGCACAAGACCTTGCTGCTGCAGCATACAACGTCCTTGTCAGCAAGGCACGCTGGTTGCAGGAGCTACCACCCCGCTTCTCTACCAAGCCCAGCTGTGCCCTGGTAACATGGCATCCATAGCCCAGCAGGCCTGGGTAGCCTTTGCTAGCTCAAGGGCTTGAGGCTACAGAAGGCCTCTTACCTTGGACAAGCAGGTGGGTTGTATGCACAGCCTCCCCCTGGATGCTGTATGCTCGGCAGGTATAGGCGCCTCTGTCCTCTCGGCTGACTGATGTCACCGTCAGGCTGCCGTCACTCACCTAAGGGCCCAGGACAGACATAACTCAGCAGCCAGCAGGGAGCCCCACCAACACATTCCTCCAGCAGAGAGATGCAGGGAGAGCTGCTGGTTTGGAGAAGGTATGGAGGGCATAGCACAGGAAGGTAGAGAGGCAGGTGCCTGCCTACCCATCCCCCTCCAAGACAGAACAGATGCCTCAACCAGACCAGGTTGTAGGCTTTCCTGCCTCCACCTGACCTAGTGCACATAATGTTAGGAAATAGCTCCTTGCAGGGAGGGGAAAAGAGGAAAGGGGAGAAGGAGGGGAGGAGCAAGCTCAGCACCCCAGCCTTAGAGCTACGCTCAGCTCACCTGATACTTCCCACTAGCACCGAGGAGCGTCCCCTCCTTGAGCCAGGTGACGATGGGCTTGGGGTTCCCAAAAGCTGTGCAGGTCATGGTAATACTGCCACCCTCCTTGGCCTCGATGTACTGGGGGGGTGTTTCTGTAAAGGTGGGAGGGGCTGCAAAGGAGACCACAAAGGTGAGGGATGGAATCAGCCCACCTGTGCACTGCAACTCGGCAGAATGTACCGATGAAGGAACACACAAGGGGTAAGCAAAGTCCTGCCCACTGGTATCACAGGGGAAGGGAAATCCAGGTTCCAGTCTCAATCTGGATGGGCCCAAATTATAGAATTTGCTCATCCTATAAAACGTCACTATTTCCCAGAGGAGGGAAAGGGAATATTTATTGAGCATCTACTAGGAAAAATGCCACAACCAGCACTGGGGACATGATGTAAATAAAACTCAGCTCTGGCTGGGCGCCAGTGGCTCACACCTGTCACCCTAGCTACTTAGGAGGCTGAGATCTGAGGATTGAGGTTTGAAGTTAGCCCAGGCAGATAAGTCTGTAAGACTCTTGTTTCCCATTAACCACCAGAAAATTGGAAGTAGAGTTGTGGTTCCAAGTGGTAGAGCACTAGTCTTGAGCAAACATGCTCAGGGACAGTGCCCAGGCCCTGTGTTCAAGTCCCATGACTGACAAAAAAAGAAAAATACAGTTCTCATGCCTCCCCACCCCAGAATCCCCGACCACACGTCAGTGTTTAACCTGAGGGTTTCCCCTCTTTGTGCAACTCCATCCTCACTAGGATCCTTCATTTCCAGGACATTTGTCATCTCACACAGGTCTCAGGTCAAGATTGCAGTCCCCGGTTCTATTGAGAAAGTCCTCCACCTGTCTCTCTGTGGCTCTTGTGGATACAGATGTGCAGCCTGACTAGGGGCTACTTCTTTCCTAAGTCTCTGATTATTCCAGGTCATCTTCCTGCTGCATTGGAGATGTGATTAAAACACCATCCTGTTTGGATAATCGGCTTTTATGAGTCTGAGTCCCATTTGCCTGAGCTGCTTGTAGAGACAATCCGGTCAATCCTAAACCTTTGGACTAGCTGTTCTATGGCCTTCCATTTCTGAACTCCAGCCCTGAGGTCCCCGGGGCTGGGCTAGACAGGACAGGACATCCTGAATTCCTCTCAAGGTACCACCCAGAACTGAGGATCCAAGTTCAAGTGCTAGCATGCCCCTTGCTGCATACCCTTAGACAGGTTCCTCAGCCTCCCCACCCTCCATCCTCTGGAATTGCTGTGAAGAAATATTTGTGGAAAGGACCTGGTAGAATGTATGTTTAAACAAACTTCAGTGGTTCTGCTATTATTATCGTGACCTTGTCCTGAGAGGACTGAAGTTTTGCCTCACATCTCCCTCATCTCCTTCCATATTTTATCTTCACTATTCTTTAACCATATTGGGCCTTCTTTGTCCACTTCCAAAATGCCAAGGATTCTCAACCTCAGGGTCTTTGTGTGTGCAGTTTTCTCTGCCCGGATCTCTATTTCCAGCCCTCACATTCGTGCAGTTCATGTGAACTGCCATCTCTGCCTTCCCTGACCAGTGCATCTGTGTTGGCACTTCCAGAAGGTCCTAGTCCCTCTTGCACCTTACTCATCTATCACGAACTGAACTCCACCTGTAGAGAAACCTGCTTCCTAGCTGTCCCCATTAGTGGAAATTGTGGTTCTCTAGAGCAGATACCCTTTCCGCAATTCCACGAAAAGCCCAGCTTTTATAGTATAGTTCCTGGATATAGGAGCAGATCCAAGAAACACTCATTGAATAAAATGAAGGAATAAGTGAAGAGGAGCTTATGATCTAGATACTGAGGGTCCAACACACATACGAATACATGAAACCTTTCAAAAGGAAGACCACAGCCAGACCACTGGATCTCTGATCTCCAAAGCCAATATGTGCACACAGAGACACTTGAAGGATTGTGGGATGCCTTAAGCATACAAGAATGCATACACCACACATCCTCAGGGAAAGCGATTCTCATACAGGGTCTAAGAATATACTAAATATAATAGCAAAAGGCCATTTGAAGTCCTGTAAAGGAATTCTGGAACCCTGGCCTCCAGGCCCTGCTCATCTCAGACCCCCATCCTGGCCCAGCCTGTCCCCTGAAATACAATTAATGCAGCCACAGCCTCCATTACCTCCAGTGTCAAGCTTAAAAGAAAAGATAATAAATTAAATTACATCCTGAAGTGACAAATTAATTGCTAATTACATAATTACTTTATTATTTAGGTGCTAATCAGGAAAGTACTTTGAACAATTTCAAGTTTTTAGGAAAATAATGGTTTGACTCTCCGTTATTTACTGAATTAGGTGTTAGCTTGCCAGCTGCATTTCCAGGCTTAATTCTTTTTGCAAGTGGCCTATAATTAATAGTGCAGGTTAGAAATAGGCAGGCCTCTCCTCCAAGTAATTCACCGACCTAAAGCAAGACTTGGCTGGGGCTCTTTGGGTATTCTACATGTGATAAAGAAATAATTGGGTTTGTTTCCACCCAACTGGTCTTCAAAGAAAACATAGAAGGCAAATGAGAATGATTTGTAATTCTAATTCTTCACTGGCCTTTCAATTTCCAAAGGTGTTCTCGTCAGGAAATGCCTGACACGAAACATTCTAGTCTGGAAGCAGTGGAATTCTGGCACTTGGAGCCATTCCTGGATAGTGAAAATATTTACACAGAAGGAACCTCGGAACTCAGAAGAAGGCAAGAGGAGAAGCAAGAGAAGTAATGTCTCTCTCCTGATGAGACACATCTGCTCTGTTCTGCCTGGTCTTCAGGTAGGCTTCTTGGTTATGGCAAAACTCTGCTATATTGGTAAGTCCTGGCTCTCAAGTGTGCAACAAATGGTGTTCATCCTTAGTGCTCTAGAGACCTAGTGGTTTGTGGTAAACAACCCACATGAATGAGTTGCTTTCCTCCTCAAGGCTCCCAAACATGCTGTTCCCTCTTCCTGGAGGAGACTTCCCCCCTTCCCACCTGGGACTTGAACACAAGGCCTGAGTCCTGTCCCTTAGCAATTTTTCTCAATGCTAGTGCTCTGCTACTTGAGCCACAGCCTCACTTCTGGCATTTTGGTGGTTAATTGGAGATAAGCGTCTCATGGACTTTCTTGCCAAGGCTGGCTTCAAAGTGCAATCCCAGATCTCAGCCTCCTGAGTAGCTAGGCTGACAAACATGACCCACCAGGGCCAATGTCTGGTTAGAGGGTCTTTGTTAATTGACCAAAGTCTTTGATAGCTTCTAGCCCCCTGTTAACTATACCTCCTCCCCCCAGCTCCTTGCCTCTCTCTTTCTTTCTTTCTCTCTTTCTTTCTTTCCTTCCTTCTTTCTTTCCTTCCTTCCTTCCTTCCTTCCTTCTTTCTTTCTTTCTTTCTTCCTTCCTTCCTTCCTTCCTTCCTTCCTTTCTTCCTTTCTTTCCTTCCTTCCTTCCTTCTTTCCTTCCTTCCTTCCTTCTTCCTTCCTTCCTTTCTTCCTTCCTTCCTTCCTTCCTTCCTTCCTTTCTTTCTTTCTTTCTTTTTTCTTTCTTTCTTTCCCAAGGAGGATGGCTAGCACCTTACCCATAATCACCCCCATGAATTTAATTGTCCAGACACAGCAAGATTCTTTCCCCTACAGAATTTCATTGAATCCTCACAATCACCCTGCAAATAGACATTGTTTTTATAACCAAGGAAACAGAGCTCAGAGAGGTGACTTAATTGGCTTTGGGTAATACTGCTGGTGAACAGTAATGAAATAAGCCAACTCTTTTAAGAGCAGTCAGAAATCACCAAAGAATCAAATCCTACTTGATAGACATTCAACAGAACATACAATTCCAAACCATATCCTACCAAATTCAACTGAGTGTCAGCTAAATGGCTGGTATCGCAGATCCCTGGAATGGACACCATCAATTAGTAGGATATGAAAGACAAAAGGTCCTCACTCAGGATGGTTTGGGGCAGTTAGGGAGGGGCCCAGGAGAGGGGAAAGGACTGGTGACTCTTGGCTTCCTGCTGTACAATGAGGAAAGCCCTGAGCAGCAAATTTACCTTCCTAAGTCTGTCTTTCTTGAGTGATATTAAGGGAGAGTTTCATTCCCTTGACAGCTGGAACCAAAAGCAAGTGATTCACAAAAAGCCTGCAGTGGTAGAGACAAACTTCATTTCTTTTTAGTTTTGTGCTGGGGCTTGAACTCAGAGCCTGGAAACTGTTCCTTAGCTTTTTCACTCTAAGCTAATACCCTACCACTTGAGTCACAGTTCCATTTCCAGCTTTTTGGTGATTAATTGGAGATAAGTGCCTCATAGACTGCTGCCCAGGCTAACTTTGAACTACAATCTTCACATCTCAGTCTCCTGATTAGCTAGAATAATAGCTGTGAGCCACTGATGCCTGGATAGGTACAGACTTTAACGTCTGACTCCCATCAGGCTCCTGGGACCAACTGGCTGGAGCCAGCAGTACCTAATGCCTGAGCCAACTCTCACCTCAGGCCATCTTTAGTTTCCTGTGTTACAGGCCAATGCTTTTGCTAAAATCTTCTATTCTGAGGTGAGGGTTTAGCTCAATAGTACAGTACTTGCACTTGCTTCACATGCCTTTGGCCAAATCCCCAACAGTGCCAAAACAAAAATATTTAATAAAAAAAATTATGTTCTTTTAAGACTCTGGATAGGTTCCAAGGCTCCAAAGCAGCCTGAGTCTGATCCATCTTCTGTAGGTAGAGTGGACAGAGCCAGTCTTGAGAAAAGATCAATAACGAGAGAAGCTTCCAGGCCAGGAACAACATCAATTTCTATCTTCCAACCACAACTTCTATAGTCTCAGACACCAAAACCAGAAGGATCTATATGGTATGTGGCATATCCAGGATACTGAAGACTCAATAACTAGCATGGTGTCTGTGACACAGTGGTGGCCAAAAACATTTTTTTGTCATCTATTAAATAGAGAAGAATAAGAATCTGGCCAAAAGAATGAAATAAAACAAAAAGAAGGCTGAGTGCCAAGTGGCTCATGTCTGTAATCCTAGTTATTCAAGAGGCTGAGATTTGAAGCCAGCCCAGGCAGGAAAGTCTATGAGACTCTTATCTCCTATTGACCACCACTAAAAAGCTGGAAGTAGAGTTGTGGCTCAAGTGGTAGAGTGCTAACCTTGAGCAAAAAAGCTCAGGCATAACACCTAGGCTCTAGATTCAAGCCCCAGATTTGGCGGAAAGAAGGAAGGAAGGAAGGAAGGAAGGAAGGAAGGAAGGAAGGAAGGAAGGAAGGAAGGAAGGAAGGAAGGAAGGAAGGAAGGGAGAGAGGGAGGGAGGGAGGGAGGGAGGGAGGGAGGGGAAAAGAAAGAAAGAAAAGAAAGACTGAAAGAAGAGAAAGAGAGAAAGAGAGCACCCTCATTCCCCACCCACTGGGTGGATGCCTTTTGCTGTCCTTTCTCCACGGTGCCAGCACCTCCCAGGTAAGGATTCCTCAGGACATACAGGAAGACTCTTCCTCCATGGAGACACTGAAGACCTGCCCCTATGTGCCATCACTGCTGTGGACCCCAGCTCCCAGCCTCAGAACTCAGCAAGTTTACCCTAACACTTGCCCACCCAGACACTTGTATGTGTACACAGTACAACCCATTTAACCTGAGCTATAAATAACTGATGACCATTAAAGCACATCCTCTCCCTAGGATCCTTAATTTTACTAGCTAATAAACCCTGTATGAACAAGGACCATGTCTGGGTTTGCTCATCAGTATTTCCCCCACCATCTGGTGTGGGGGCCAAGCCTGTAACAGACTCTCTGTATAATAAATATACGTTTAACAAGAAACCAAATAGTGACCTAAAAAGACAAATGCTGAGGCTGTAGGAATTCCACTTGAGAGGGGAAGCACCTTTCCTGAGCTCCCAGGCTCCTCCCACAGCCGAGAAGTCACAGCAGCAGTGACTGCTTTGACCTCCACAAAGCCTTAACCCTCCTGGTTCCCAGAAACAGATCGCTTCCCTGAGAGGGAGAACTCTGACATCACCTTGTACACAGTGAGCTACTACACCTCTGTGCCCCCATGGACCCCAGGGGCACAGGAGGAGCAAGCTGAGGTCTCAAAGGACCAAGGCTTCCCAAGGCTCCTGTTGGTGGCAAAGGCTGAGGGAAAAACCACTAGTCAGGACAGAGGGTGGCAGAGCAGAGCCCCAGGGAAGGGGACTCATACGCACCATTGATGGTAAGGTGGACCCAGCTGCCATTGTGGAAGGTGTCATACTGCTGGTCCAGCATGAGCACTTTGCACTCATACCAGCCCTGGTCTTCAGAGCGTACCTGCTCCAGCCGCAAGGATGCTTTATCATGAAGACTGGCCCGGCCTGGTGGGGGGAAACAGTGAACAAAAGCCCAGTAAGCCAGCAGGGCAGGGCTAGGAGTTCTCCCCTCCCTGAACCAAAGAAGGAAACCCATCTACTTCCCATAGCAGAGCCCTAAATGACCTCTGGTACCCACCAACACACCAGAAGGTGGCCAAGGAAAAGGTGGGCCATGAAACCACTATCCATCCCCAGACAACCCTGCCCCAGCCCACAACAGCAGCCAACTGTGTGAGCCCAAAAAAAGCCTCAACAACTTAGAACACAAATATTCTTTCTGGGTATCTGTGTGTTGGTACCAGGGCTTGAACTCAGAGCCTTGCGTTTTTCCTCAGCTTTCTTGCTGGTGCTCTACCACTTGAGCCATACCTACAGGCCAGCTTATTTTTTTAAGAAATAGAGTCTCACAGACTTTCTTGCCAGAGCTGGCTTTAAACTGAGATCCTCCAGGTCTTAGCCTCCTGAATAGCTAGAATGACAGGCACAAGCCATCAATACCTACCTGGCTATAAGTATTCTTTATCTTTCTCTTTTTCTTTTTTGCTGGACCTGGGGCTTGAATTCAGGGCCTGAGCACTGTCCCTGAGCTGCTTCTGCTCAAAATTAGTGCTCTAACTCTTGAACCATAGTGATAAGAGTCTCATGGACTTCCTGCCCAGCTGGCTTTGAACCGTGATCATCAGATCTCAGCCTCCAGAATAGCTAAGATTTCAGGCATGCACCACTAGCTCCCAGCTTATAAAGGATGACACACAGAGATGAGGAAATGACAGAGTTCAGACATGAGTGTTTTCTGGGGCTGCCCTACAGGCTATAGAGCATCTCTGCTCAGGTTAAATAATACACCTGTCTCAACTGGATGCTTAGGACTACCTCACACTTTCCTGTCTGCATGATTTCCCTAAGGTAAGATAGAGTAAAGGCTATCTGGGGACTGGACTCTAGAGTCTTTCTAGATCCTGCTACCAGCCCCTCCCAAAGCCCAGCAACTCCATGAGCTGAGGATAGCAGGGCTAAGGACAGACAGATATGATGGTTCCTCCTATAGTTCTAGCTTTCAGGAAGCCAAGGCAGGAAGAAAATGTGGGGTTCTTTGTTATTATTGTTTATCTTTGGTTTCTTTTGTGCCCAGTAGTGGGGCTTGAACTCAGGACCTCATATATACTGGCTTAGCTTCTTCCACTCAAGGCTGGCACTCTACCACTTGAGCCACAGCTTCATTTCTAGTTTTTTGCTGATTAATTAGAAGTAAGGGTTCTGTCCAGGATGGCTTGGAACTATGATCCTCAGATCTCAGTCTCCTGAGTAGCTAGTAATACAAGTGTAAGCTACCATAGACCGGCATATATAGTGAGTTTAAGACCAGCCTTTTCTCAAAAAAAGAAAAAAAGGGGGAAAAAATCAAGACAAGGGGCTGCAGGCAAGGACCTTCTGACCATGTAAAGACAGTTCCGTGTTCCTCTCACACAGAGAAAGGAGCCCCTTCTGGCTTGGCAGTTGGGATACCACGTTAAAGGGCTCACCTCATCTGTGCTAGCTACTCAAACCTCTTTCAAACCAAGCCAAGACCCCTACCACCACCACCTCCTCTGTTTCCTCCTCATCCTGGATCTGTAAATCTACCTTAAAAACTCAGACAAACCAAGCTACCCCTGGCCACAGGAAGAAGGAGAGAAAGAAAGGCTGGAAGGGAAGCTTCCTGAAGAAAAGGCAATTCAGACCTTGTAAGCTACAGGGGAGACAAAAGTAGAAGCAGTGTCCTGCTTCTTCCTATCCTTTCAAGTCCAACACATATTCATCGATGGACACACACACACACACACACACACACACACTGCACCGTCCACCCTGGCAGGCTGGCAGGTGGTAGCAATGAGTCACAGGGAGGCCACTGCTGACAGAGTAATTGCAGAACAAGACACAAACAGGGCCAGGAGAAGGAAGGGGAGGGGGAGTGGCAGAGGAGGTAGAGACCAGGTCTTGGCAGGGTCAGGCACAGAAGGGGGTGGCTACTAGAACTGGGAATGGGAGTATGCCCCAACCTCAGAACTAGGGGGAAAGAGAAAAGGAGCGTGCAGACAAGAGATCCTGCAGCCTTGTCTTCTTCACGTGTGGTTAAAGGCAGCTCTATCTGACTCTCCTTCTTGCCTGGACAGTGTGGGATCTTGCTTCCTCCCAGGAGTCCTCTCTCTAGCTCGCCCTGGTACTGCTGAGTGCTCACTACCTTCCCAAGGCTGTGTCGTTTTGAAGACTTTCAGGTCTGTTTCAACTCCTACTCCCTCTCCTCTTTGCACTTAATACAAACCTAGTGAAGCAAAGATGGGAGGGAAAGAGGTAGAGATGATAAAAACAGAGACGACGGGCCAGTCCGGAGACAGAGCAGAACTGATCAGAACAAAGGCAAAGGGACCTGAGACCTGGGAGGGGAGGGAGGCGACCCTGAGACCCAGAAGGCACCTACTAAAGAGAGGCGAAGTGGGGGCAGCCCTCGGCACCCACACCTTACCTGCATACTCAGGGTCCACGTGAGGAGGGTAGTAGCCAAACTTGATGAAGATAGGGATGGGAACCCCGAACTTGAACCACTCTACAACATAGGGCGGGGGCTGTCCCGTCACCGGGTGGATCACGTCGCATCGCAGAACAACACCCTCACCAGCTCGTGCAGTCACAAACTCAGGCTCTTCTCGTAGGCCGTGGGCACCTAACAGGGACAGCCAAGGTGGGACACAGGTAGGTGACAAAGAGCTCCTGCCCCCGCAGCCTCATGCCGATGTGAAAGGCGTGACTCGGAACCACCCTCTCCCTTCCTGAGGGCCCCCCCCCCCCCCCCCCGTGCACCCTCACCCCACCCCTACTACTTCTTACCCAAAACTCCCTCAGCCCTGAAGGCCTCAAGCAAGCATTCATATATCCAAGGAAGAAAAGAAGAGAGAGGGAAAAAAAGAGAGAGAGAAAGCTTTTCCAAGTGCCAAGTGGTTCGTGCCTGGTTCATGCCTAGCTACTCAGGAGGCTGAGATCTGAGGATCGCAGTTTGAAGCCAGGCTGAGCAGAGAAGTCCATGAGACTCTTTTTATTTGGGGGGGGGGGGGGGTGGACAGTGTCTGGTCGTGGGGCCTGAACTCTGGGTCTGGGCGCTGTCCCTCAGCTCTTCAGCTCAAGGCTAGTGCTCTACCACTTGAGCCACAGTGCCACTTCCAGCTTTTTTCTTTTTGCTTATGTGGTGCTGAGGAATCGAACCCAGGGCCTCATGCATGCAAGGCAAGTGCTCTACCACTGAGCTACCTTCCCAGCCCATCCACGAGACTCTTATTTCCAATGAACTATTCAGAAAAGGCCGAAGTGGCGCTGTGGCTCAAGTGGTAGAGTGCTAGCCTTGAGCAAAAGAAGCTTTGGGATAAAGCCCAGGCCCTGAGTTCATGCCTCGAGACTGGAAAAAGGGGGGGGGGGGGTGTTTTTATTTTTTTAGCTCTACAAGCTAATCTCAGTTCCAAAGACCATTAGGCAAAACCTGATGCTAGTGGTTCATGCCTATAATCTTAGCTACTCAGGAAGCTGAGATCCGAGGATCAAGGTTCAAAGTCAACCTGGGCAAGAAAGTCCGTGTGGCTCTCATCTCCAATTAAGCACCAAAAAAAAGCTGAAAGTGGAGCTGCGGCTCAAGTGGTAGAGCACTAGCCTTGAGCATAAAAGCTCAGGGTCAAGCTAAACGCCAGTGGCTCACGCCTGTAATCCTAGCTACTCAGGAAGTTGAGATCTGAGGATTGTAGTTCCAAGCCAGAAAAGTCCCTATGACTCTTATCTCCAATTAATCACTCAAAAACCAGAAGTGGAGCTGTGGCTCAACATGGTAGAGAGCTAGTTTTGAGCAAAAGAGCTCAGGGACAGCACCTAGACCCTGAGTCCAGCCCTATGACCCTCCCCCCCCAAAAAAGCTCAGGGATAGTGCCCAGGTAAAGCCTCAGTACAGGCGCGCGTACGCACACGCAAGAACAGCAGGCATCATCATGTTCTGCACATACACACACACACACATACACACACACACACACACACACACACACACACACACACACACACACACACACACACACACACACCAATGAATAGCTCAGCCCAGCCATAACCACCTACAAACAAGGGAACATTCCTCCGGAAGCAGCTTCCCTCTAGAGCCTCGTAGGAGATGGCAAAGGCAGCCTTCCTCCACTGCCCCACCCCCAGCTCTGCCTGATGTTCCAGCACTAAACAAGAGTGCTCCACACTGGAGCGAGCCGAGCTGGGAATCCCTAACAAGCTAAGCAGGCTGCTCAAGGCAACACCAGAGGAAAACCCCACCGGCCTGAGCTGGCCTCTCCAGCCCCTCCTCCCACCCCTGCTGCGCAGCCCTGCAGCAGAGGGAAGCTCGGCATTGCAGCCCTCCCATTTATTTCCAAGGCTCAAATCTATCAGATATCACTGTTCCGAGAGCAGGAGGCTGGGGACAGAGAAGGGGGACCCTGGGGCACAGAATATCAAAGCTGGACAGCTCAACAGGGCACCCCCATCCTGGCTGACAGAGGTGGGGAAGGAAGCAGGTAAGAGGCCCCCATCCCACCTAAGACTCAAGGTGGAGGACTCACAGGTCACTGCCCACCCTCCTTGGCACCTGCTCCTGGGCCCCACACAGCAACCAGGCAGGGCCAGGGAGACTGCAAGGTCACCTTGTCCAGTGCTGGCAGTGAAAAGGACAGTGAAGGGCAGCTCCAGTCCGGCCTCCCCGGCACTACCCCTCCCAAGATGACCACACCCTTTCTCACCTCCCTCCTCCCCTCCAGGCCACCGCCTGAGCACCTCAACCGTGCCGGGCAGCACCTAGGACAGCAACCGCAGACTGGGCCTGCAGCCAAAGCTGGCTGGGCCCTTCCTTTGGGAAAGGATGGAAGGCAGAACACCTCTGTCCCTCTGCCTAAGTTGAGCTCTTTCTGCATCCTCTGACCCCTATGGGATCCCACCTGCCTCGGTCTCTCCTTCATGTCTCAGTGTTTCACTCTGTGTGTGTGTATGTGTGTGTGCGCGTGCATGCTCACATGCATGTGATCTGAGAAAGCGCCATCTCCGTCAGTCTGCCTCTATATCTCTGTCTCTTTATTTCTATTTGTCTCTCACATTTGCCTTCTCTTTCTGTCTCTCCTCTTCCTCCTCCTCCTCCTCTTCGTCCTTACCCTCCCCCCTTTCTGGCTCTTTCCGTGTCTGTCTCTGTTTATCTCTGTCTCTCCCTCTCTCTAGTGTCTGGTGTGTCGATCCATCAACTGTCTGTCTGTCAATCTCCTGCTCAGCTCCAAGTCTCTCTATGTGTCTCTAGCTTCTTCTCCACGTGTCTATCTGTCTGTCTGTCTCTGTCTCTCTCTGTCTCGGTCTCTGTCTCTCTGTCTCTCTGTCTCTCTCTATTTCTCTGTCTCTCTGTCTCTGTGTCTCTCTCTGTCTCTCTCTATCTCTTTCTCTCTCTGTGTCTCTCTCTGTCTCTCTCTCTCTCCTGCTCCTTCACTATGACTCTCTGGCTATCTTCTAGGTCCCTCCATCATGTGTGTCTCTGTCTCTTTCTCTTGCTAGCACTACATGTGGGTAATTGCCTACCTGCCTGTCCCTTTCCCTGTTTCTATCAGCTGGCAAGTGTGTGTGTGTGTGTGTGTGTGTGTGTGTGTGTGTGTGTGTGTTGGAGGATGGGAACCACGAATTGCTGTTGGTCCATTTGAGGGCAAGGTGTTTCACATGCTTTTCTGCATGGAGGGGCTCTGTATCCGTGTGCATATGTGTTTCTTGTCTCTGAATCTCTATGTCAGTCTATGTCATCTCTGTGTGCCTCTGCCTGCCTCATTCTCCCCGCTCCCCCTTCCCTGTAACTTGCAGAAGGAAGAGGAGGAGGAGGCAAGCCCTTCCAGAAGCCGATTGGCTCCCAGTGACATCACTGTTTTCTAGAGAAAGAGCTAAGATCACGGAGTATTTTTGGAGCAAAGAAGCATTACACTCACCTGCCAGAGGCCCCAGCAGGTTTCCCAAGCCCCCCCCCCATCCCCCAGCCTGGCTTCAGACTGAGTTTGCAGCCCAGCCTCTTGGGGTAAAAGGAGGAGAGGGCCCAGCTGCAGCAGGCACCTCCCCCACACCCCTAGGGATACCTGCCTGCCTGCCTGCCCTGCTTCACCCACAAGCACAAACCAGTGCTAGACCGACAGCAATGGGTGGAGAGCAGGTGCCATGAGCCATCAAGAGAAGCAGCATGTATATGTATGCATGCATACATGTGTGTACATATGTATATACACACATGCAACAACCGAACATCTGCAGGACTGGCCTGTGAGGAGATGAGGAGACAAACTACAGATGTGTGAAGGAAGAAAGAGCTATTTCCGGGATTGGGGGGGCAGGAAACCTGGGGTGGGGCAGGATGGCTCCTTTGTCTCTAGAGCACAAGTAACAGAAAGAGAACCAAGGGGAACAGCTGGGCACCTCTAACAGTCCGGTTTTGTTCTGGAGTGCTGGCAATGCTAGAAGGTGGGTCAGCTTTGACATGGCTGTGCACTGCTCATTTGCACCTAGTGCTGCCTCATTCTCGCTGCATTGCAATGAGACAGCTCTTTGACACCTTCCCTCCCCCACCCCCGGCCCCAGTCCCAGGCCCAGCCCCAGTCCCAAGCCCAGCCCCAGTCCCAGCCCGTCCCTGGGTTAAACATAAAGCCCATTGTAAAGCCCAGCCCCAAAGCAACAGTGCACACACGCACACACACACACACACACACACACACACACACACACACATACACACTCAGCTAGCATCTCTTCTTGAGACCCTTCCAATCAGGGAGGAGCATCTACAGACCAGGTGCATCCCAAAAATGACACACAGTACAAAACGAGACCAATGTCTCCAAAAGTAGACAGAGAGAAGTCATCCCAGGTCCTCTTGGTTTCCAGGATCCTAATGTATTATCATCTGCTCTTTCTCTTCTTCTACACACACACACACACACACAGAGGGTGTGTTCCCTCACTCCATCTCCCACAGCCTGATCCTTTCTGAGCCAAAGCATGTCTAATAAACACTCTCTCCAGAAAAGCTCAGTGTGAAAAAAGAGAGAAAGTACTCGGGCTGGCAGGAAAGAGGGAAGAGGGGCTTGATAGAGGAGACATGGATAAACTCAAACACTGGGGAACGAAGCCCAAATCCCACAGTGAAAGCAATTCAGAAGCAAGGAAGTGCGGAGATACAGATGGACCCAGTCCAACCAAAGAGATGGCTGGGGGCAGTGACAACAGGATAGAGAGTCATGGAGACTCACAGACACAGGCCTTCAGAACACCTGAAAACCAGCAGGACAGAGGGGAGCCTGCATGAAGTAAGGCCAGCTGGAACAGGGAAAGGGGGTGGAGAATGCTTGGGGATAGTGCCTGCAAGGCAGGGGACCCTCAGGCCCTTCCCCTTCACAGGAACCACGGGGCCAGGCTTCTTCTGATTGGCTTGAGAATGGTAGGGGGTTCCCAGAGGCACTAAAGAAGGCAGGAAACAGTACACCCTGAGCCTTTGAGGGTCTGCCTAGACCCCCCTGAAGGGGTGCCATCCTGGCAAGAAAGCGAGGAAGGAGTGGCTCCCTGCAGGCTGGCTGACCTTTCCAGGAAACCATAGGATACAAATCATCTGCTCTCTGGGCCAGGTGGTACTCAGTG